AAACAAAAAATAATAATCAGATTCTATATCTATATATTTGAATGTTTGAATAGAAAATAAAGATCTGTATACACATATATATATATAATATCTGAACAAAAGAATAAAGGTTAATGACTATCAACATAAAGAAGAAGGAATGCATCATCATTATTTAACAAATAGAAAACAAATGAAAAAGAAAGAAAGAAAAAAAACTTAATAGATAAATGGTTTTTTTTTCATATTTAATATGAGTAGAAGAATAAAATATTTGATTTAATTAGAATATATACAAGAAATAAATGATGAGATTAATGTTATTATTACTGTTTCCTTCTTGAAGGTTTTCAATTTAAGAGAGATACTGAATAAAAAAAAAAAAGAAAATATATTTAATCGGAATCATTTTCATTATTTATTTGCACTAATGTTCGTTTTGGTTGAGGCATTCGTAGAATACGCATATCGGGAGTTATTTTAAGAAAACTAAAAAACAATTGAATAGAATTCATTTCATTTCATTGTAAAAAAAAGATCTCTACCTTAAATCTTGTGGTGTTAAAAATATATATTGTTTTTTCTTTTCACGAGCCACCTCAAGAACAAGATTCATTGCAGTTCGACGTGTTACATGATCCTAAGAGCATAAATTATTAAAATAACAATAATTCGTAATAATTACCATGAAAACATCAAATTCATCAAGACAACGTAATGGCATTTCAACAACTTCCCAAAGAGCAAGCATAAAGCAAACTGTTGAGAATGAACGTTCACCACCTGATAATGATCGTGTATCTTTATGTACTTCATCTCCACGTGGTGTAATTTCAAGTGAAAGAGTTCTTTCTTGATGATCGAAAATAGCTTCGCCTGTATAATTTCTTGATTCAAGAAATGAAGTAAAACAACTACTAGTTAATTTCGCTGTCGATTCCAAAAGATTTTTATATTGTTGACCACGATGACGTGCTGCTTTAAATAATTTCTATTTAACAAAAAAACAAAAATTTAAATTTTTAAAAAATAAAATTTCATACATGAATAAGTTTTTCTTGTTTATCAACAATACGACAAAATACATTTAATTCTTGAGTAACTTGTTCGACACGTTGTTCAATTTTTTGTAAATCATGTGTACTAAATAAACAAAAGAAATAAATATTTATTTTTATGTAAGTAAAAATATTCTTACACATTCTTATTTGTTTCAATAAATTTTAGAAGAGCATCCAAATTTCGTCGAACCGTTTTCGTATCAATTTCTTCATCTGGACGTTGTTGAACTAAATTTTGTGCATTTTCAAGTTGTTTTTCAAGTCTTTTTTCAACAAATGTTTTTGTTGCTTCTTGTTGATCAAGTTTTCTTTGATTATCATCAAGACCTTTTTGTAATTCATTGATTGCTCGTTGGCCATTTTCTTTTAAAGCATCACACGATTGAAGTGTTGTTTTACATTGTTCAGCTTCTTCACGTTTTTCCATAACACGTTGTCGTGCTTGAGCTAAATCATCTAACACCTGTCGATATTCTGGTGATTCAACTTCACTTTTAGATTTTTGTTCTTTTATACGTTCTTTTAATGTTTCAATACGAGTATCATATTCAGATAAATCATTTTCACAATCATCTATATTAGAATTATTGGGCGCTTCAATTGATTGTAATTCTCGAAGTTCCTTAAAAAATAAATGAATTTTTATTGTTTTTCTTTACAAAAAGAATTTCATTTTATTACTTTTCCTAATCGACCAATTTTTAATTTTATTTCATTTATTGTTGTTTCTAATGAAGTTACTGTTTGTTGATGTTGACCAACTCGTTTTTGTGTTTCATTTGATTTTAATTTCGCTTCTTGAATCTCTCGTTCAATAGCATGACAATCTTTTTCTGCACGACTAAAATATTCAATTGAAAAATTCAAAAAGAAATATATTTATATTCAAATATACATTATTTGTTCAGCAAGATCTTCAACAAAATAGCGTGCACTTTGAGCTTTACATGTATAACAACGAAATACATTTAAATTTTGCATTTCAGTACCATTTGGAAGATATGCCTGCGAAAGAAAATAATTACGGACAGATAAAACTCAATCAAAAAACATACAGCTATACAATTGGGTGGTGAACTTCTTTCCATAATACGACGAGCTGTTTCATAATTATCCATTAAAATTCTTTGTTCAACACGTCCTTGATCAATTAAAAAACATGCAACTGTTGGATTATCAATATCAAGCATGGATAAAATCGTTGTAAAACTTGATGGTGGTAACTAAAATATTTAAATTTAATTAATTTGAAAACATAAACAAAAAAATGATTTACTCGAAGTTGTTGATAAATTTTTGATTGAAATTTCATCACTATTAAAACATTATATGATAAGATGAAAATATAGAAAATATTATTTACCAGTAACACTTGGTCGATAATCCATATCTTGTGCTGGTACACAACGTGTAAGTATTTCAAGAAAAACTCTTTCATCTTCACGACATGAACAAAGATAACTTGGAATTATATTTCCAATCGCTTGTTCAATAGCAATCGCCCATTTTCGATCAATAAGACGAATATGTTTACCAACGGGACCAATAGGCATTTGTTTAAATCTATGAGCTTGTTTTTCAATTTCTTTCAGAATTGCAAGTGTATAACGTCCATAAATTGTAACACGATCTTCTTTCGCTGCTTTAAGATGTTGAATGTGTCCACGTCGTTTACGTAATGAATCTTCATGTTGTTTAACAGCTGCTTGATCATTAAATTGAATTTGACGTTCATCATCATATAATTGTCGAAAATTAACTTGTTCATTTTCTTTCATTGATAATATTTGTCGTTGTTCAGCAATTGAAATTTGTAATTCTTCCATACGTTGACGAACTCGATCATAATCATTATTACCTGTTGCTTTACGACGCATTTCATCAATTTTATTTTGAAGTTTTTTCTTTAATTCAATTTGTATTTGAAGTTCTTTTTCAGATTTATTTACTTCATTTAATAAATCTCTTCGTTCTTTATTAAATAATTTCATTCGTCGTTCAAGATCATCATGAATACGTTTTTCTTCAATTGCATTATTTGCAACTTCTTGTGCTTTACGAAGTAATTCATCACGTTTAGTTTTTTCATTTTTAATATCTTCCTATACACATAAATTGAATTTAGAAAAAAACCTAATAAAAATGAACAACATACGATTAATGCATCACGTTTTTTCATATATTCTTCAACAGCATATCGATTATCAAGAAGTTTTTGTTCAGTCTCGGCCAATGATTTTTCAAGATTAAATACTTCAGCCCATTCAAGTTGTCCTTGAAGATTATTAGCATCTGATTTTGCATTACGTACTGATTCAGCAAATTTTAATTGTGCTTGAAGATCTTCTTGTTGGGCTTGAATTTCTTTTTTTTTCTATTTCAATTTAAATTTAATATTAAAAAATAAACAGAAATTTGTTTTCTACTTTAATATGATCAATAAGTAATCCTTTCGAATTACGAACTTCAATTGTATTTTGTTCAAGATCTTCAACCATTTTTTGTAATTGTGTTGCTTTGAGAAAAAACTAAATCATTGAAATTAATCGCGAATGTTAATAAAAAAATAAATCTTACATTATATTTTTCTTTGGTACTTTTTGTATTTAAAAAATTCTTTGCTATATCTTGGTTAAGCATACACATTGGATTATCAACTTGAATATTAAAATGTGCAACTATGATATCAATTGTATCTTTTCTTTCCGAGACTGTTTTACCTATTTCGGAAAATTAAATACATATTTTTATATTATAAAGTAAATAGATTAATAACTAACCATATTCATTTTTAATCAAATAATTACTGCTACCTTTGATTGTTATTTTACGTATAATTGTAATTGTTCGTCCAAAACGTTCAATATCAATTGCTTCGAGACCTTGATTGCACAATACAACAGATATTTCGGCATTACTATTAAGCAAAAATTGAAATTGCCAATAAAAGAAAAAAAGAATTTTTACCTTTTACCATGTTGAATAAAACGACCAATATTAGAACAACGACTTGTACTTGTAGCACGACCACCTAATGTAAGTGTAATTGCATTCATAATTGCAGATTTTCCACCTAAGAATAAATATTATTTCAATGAATAAAACATTAAGATACTTACTGCCATTATTGCCAATAACCATATTTAAATTTTCATTGAAATCAAATTCAAGAAACGTATGACACATAAAATTTTTTACACTAATTCTAAGAATAGTGCCGGCATTTTTATGTAAATCAGGAGTTTCTTTAAATAATTGTGATGATTCAAAGGTAGAATTTGGTGGTATATTTTCATCTTGTTCTTCAGTATCATGACCATTTGTTGATTGAGTATTTTTTTGTTTTTTACGTGGTACAGCTGCAACTGTACCTGACGTTGAAGAGCCACGTTTGGGCATTATTTCATACGGATATATATATATTAGATAAAATTTTTTGTTCAGAAAACAATGTATGTAATCTAAAAAGAAGAATGATTTAAGCGCGCATTTAGTTTAATTATATGTTCAAAAGAATCGATAGATCGTTGAACACCAGACAACGGTCGAACATCCATAATTTATTTCTTATAAAATACGGATTTGAACGAATCGAAATTTCACTTTATTTCAACGAAAATTAAAATCAATTCCATTAAAAAAGATGTCACTATCTGATATTATATTCTTTCATAATATCGATCCATTGTTTGCATAGGAATCAATTGAATATTACTTGTATGTGCAGCAGATCGTGCAAATTGCATTAAGGAATGATTTTGCGGAAGAAAATCTGCAGGATAATCTGAAAATGATGGATAAACAATTGCTGAATCAGATAGACGAAAACTAGTTGTAAATGATCGTACTATTTGTAAACATTCCTGTTCATCATCTAATGTCCATGTATATGCTACAACTAATTGATTTACAGTACAATGAAATGACGTCGATTGATTCACAGTGACTAATTGAGGACCATCTAGAAAATAATCATCATCTTCTCTTTGCATAGTACCAATGAGAATAAAAAGTCGTTCATTTCGTTTCAGTTGAATTGTAAATAGATCATGAATAGATTCATTTCGATAGAAACTAGCATGTTCATCTAGAAGAACTTTAATTTGTGCATAATTTAATAAATGTATTGGTTGTTGATACATATTAATAAGCATATGAAGAGCTATTTCATTATAGATCAATCGAATCATATGTATATTTGATAAAAACATTTCAAGTAAAGATTGATCAATTGCATAAGTTTCAACAATACTACTCTCAGCTCGATATGTTCGATTTGATGGTGATGAACTTTTATCAAATAATGAATCAATACCAATAATATGACCTGATCTATAACATGTTAAAATATCTTCTGAACATTCAACAATACCACGAACAATTAAATAGGCTTCTGATATAATATAACCTTGTCGTAAAAGAATTTCACCAGGTTGAAACCATTTTCGTCGTGATTTTAATAAATCTTTAAATTGATTTTTTTCCTGTTCAGATAAATTCGAAAATAATGAAAGATCATTAAATTGATTATCTTGTTCAACATGTAAATCAATCTTTGGTATACTCATTATATGACTATATTCTAAATGAAAAAGTTTCTTTTGTATAAGCTGAAGTATATGTGTATATTCATTTTCATTTAACATTCCTGTTTCATATAATTGAACAATAGCTACAGATTCATATTTTAAAAGCATTTGAGCACAACGTTTAGTCATTTCAATTGTCCAACATTTTTTATATGAATATTGTAGATCTTGTAATACAAGTGATGCACGTATTTGTAATTTTTTTGCATCATTAAGTACATGACTAATAATATGATTATCAATATTAGCAAATTCAGGAATTTTAAGAAGCATTGTTTCCATACGTGATTGAGCAGAATGAAATGCTAAAAAAATATTCTAGGAATCTTTCAATGTATCAATAATGAACATACCTAATGCTAATTCAATCGTAAGTATGAGATGATCAATTAATAATTTTTCTGCTAGTTGATTTAAACATTTAATTTTATCAAATTTAACAAGACATTCTAACCATAGAGGCATTCGAAAATGATCGACAAGAAGTTGCCAATGTCGTTTAAGTGATAGTTTTGTTTTTGCTTGTTCAACTGTTTCAATAAGTATTTTAAGTGTTCTTCGTCGAATCATACCGAGATACCATTGTTTTTCATAATCAACCGCCACAGCTGTTAAAAATCTTTGAACAATTTCATTTCGCATATTTGTTCGATAACAATCAGAATTTAAATCTAATGTACTTCGTGGTTCCATAAATGGTCCTATTAAATATCGATCTTTAGATATAAAACCTAAATCATATTGAAAAATACTATTTGATGATGTTGAAATAGATGCTGATAAACGATCATATGATGTTTGTTGTTGAGCACTTGTATCATTTTCATCAAGTAATATTTCTGGTAAATAATCATTGAGAACTTTCCAATTAACATGAGCAAAATTAATATCATCTTTCATTTTTTTAATTTGTCTTCCTGTTTGAACTTGCATATGTTTTAATGCTTGTAAACGTACAATTTGACTTTCGGGTGTTCCTTTATGAAGACCCAGCATTTTGACTAAGAATTTACTACTTGTTCCATTAATAACTAATGTTAACATTACAATCATTGAAATATGAAAAAGAAAACGTTCACTTGTTGCACGATCAATATCAGAATCTAAATAGACTAAAAGAGCAAGAATTAAAGCTTGTCGACCACGTACACCACTCCATGCAAAAATAACACATTCTTTTCGATTTAAATGTATACCACTCCATGTAATTACTGGATATAATACACCTACTGTTAATGCTCGATTGACATGAATTAATAAATAAAGTACTAAAGATATTCCTACATCTCTACTAGTCAAAGTATTTTCTATACCAACAAATGAATGTGCTAAAATTAAACCACTAAGAGTAAATGTAAGAATATTTACAATAAATATAATTATTTGCCATGCACCAACGAGTGATAATTGAACATTACTACTTATACAATATTTATGTTTAGCCATATACAAACCCATAAACATAAGAGCAAGAACAGCTGAAACACCAAGTTCAGCATCTGCTATATAGAAAACAAGATATGTAATACTAAATGTAATTGTAATTTCAATTTTTAATTCATTATTAATACGATTTAATACAAATACACATATAAAACCACAACATAATCCAAATAATGGACCACCTAGCCCATATCTGATAATATCACTACTGATTTGTACAGCTGTAATTGAAGTACCAACAGCAATACGAGTAAAAACTGAAAAAAGCATAAATACCAGTCCGTCATTTACTAATGATTCCGAATCAATTAATGATGATAATGAATCACTGGCTCCATAATCTCTTAACATTGTAATAATTGTGACTGGATCTGTTGTACTTAATATACTACCAAATAAAAGACCTTTAATCCATGACCATTGATAATCGGATGGAAATAGATATACAACAAATAAAGCTATGAACACTGTTGAAAGAAGAACACCTGGTCCAGCGATTAGAATAGTTGTAATTAATTGTTGTTTAACAATATGAAAATGTGCATTGAAAGATGCATCAAAAATAATTATTGGTAAAAAAATATAATAAATTAATTTTGGACTTATTTTACTTAAATGAAGTTCACCTCGTAGAAAATCATCTTCACTAAAACGACCTTTTATTTGAGTAGCGATAGTACCAATAAGAAAACCCAAAAGTAAAACAACTATATAAAATGAAAGATTTATTCTATGATGAAGAAATTTAATAAAGATAATTTTGCATAAACATGAAATTAAAACAGCAGATGATAGAACAAGAATAATTGAACCAGTTGATGATTCTTCATTGTTTAAAGTTTTATTTAATGATATATTATTACCTTCCATTTGAACAAAGAATATTTGCCTGCAGGTTCTTTTTTGTTTTGACTATATATATATTAAAAATAGTTGTCTAATGCAATCAGGCATGACATTGAAAATGTGTGATCATTTTATAAAAAGATTTTTCACACTTTTGTTATTTAGTCATCAATTACGCATACAAATTTTCTCTTTTGGATCCAATCAAAAACAAAAAAATGTTTCAACTAATCTTTATTAAGTCTAAGTAATAAACAAAACAAAACAAATGATCCTAGAAAGTTATTTTTGTTTTTCTATAATGTAAATATTATGGGAATCCATTTGGTACACCAACTTCAGACATTATTTCAGCAAAATGTGCTTGAATACTTTTATCACATATTTTACTTGCACAACATGGTGATGCGAGATCGATAACTTGTGGTTTTGATAAATGAAGATAAGACATTGGATTATGTATAATTGTAGTAGCTGGTTGATTACATTCAACACAATACCATGTTCGAGCTTGTAATACTTCTTTGGTATGTGCTTTGACAAGACCTGACATCAATGATACTACTTGTATTTTTGTTTGATTCAATGATGATGGATTAAATTGTTGACAAATGGAGACTGGTGCTGTATGTTGATGAAAGATAAATTTTTCTTGTTGACCTGTAGCATCAGAACATGTTATTGTATATTCAATAGGACGATTATTGTTTATAGTAGATGTTGATGAAGACATAACTGAATTGTTCAGATTAAATAATAGAATGTAAACGCGGGTCTAAAGAGAAAAAAACTCATTAATGAAAGAATTCGTTATAGTATCAACCACATGTTTCAAAATGTTCAATATATAAGAGGCACATTTGCTTAATTAATATGCATTCCTTCTTTCTTTCTTTGTCTATTAATATACATACCTTACTTTGTTCAGCAATCATAAAAAATAGATGTTTGAAGATAGTATAATCAATAATTTAATTTTAAATATAAATTAAATTTATTTTTGAAGATATACTCGATGGAATAGGACATATTGAATTATTATTATAGGCAATTGTCAACTACAATTTTTTTTGTCAAAGCAGATGTAGTCATGATTAAGTGTTCAATCAGAAGAGGATATGCTCTTCTGTTCATTGAATGTGAAGATGAACTCTGAGAACAATTCTTGCTTCTGATGTTTTCCTTTTTCATGTGTTGCTATCGGTTATTATCACTGACCTCGAAACAATATATAGACCATTAGTTACTTGATTATTCATCGAGAGACATGAATTCTCTTGCATAAAAAAACATTTATCTAAATTGTACTTGGTATATAGACAATGTGCATCAACTATCATGAGACCTTAGAAGAAGAAAAGAAATTATTTGCGAATCAATCAATTTAATAGTAAAAAGTAAGATTATATGGTTTTTTCATAGGGTTTATGTTTTGGAAGATTTATCATACAGCTTGCTTTCTTGCTGTGATTATTCACAATAGGATACCAAATTTATTAATAAACACTCATTGTAGAACGTTGAAAGAATATTAATTGATGAAAGAAAAACAAAAATATAGATTTTCTATGGATCAACAATGAATAAAAATCTTTTGAACAAATAATATACATTTCTTATTCCTCCCATGTACTAACACATAGATATAGATATATACAAAGACGTGACCGGATATCCAACAACATGTAGATATTCAAGAAAAAAAAATTATGTTTCCTGAACACTTGTAACTAGTCACAATATTTCTTATGTAATACCTTAACCTCAAAGCACGCTTCTCCTATAAGTCCATAATAGTAGTAGCATTTCCTATTAAAATTAGTTATTCATTTTGCGCGTGCCGCATCCGATTGATTGAGCAATCTTTAATTTCTTCTTCTTCTTCTTCTTTATTCATTCATCTATCTATCTACATATCTATCCATAGTGATTGATATTTTTTCTTCTTGTCGCCTGTTCAATCGAATCCCACTTTTTATATATACACACGCACACATATAAAACATCAACATAGAACAAGATAGATGGATCAATGTATATATTTATATATATGAAGAGATACAATAAGAGATATAAAGCAAGATAGAAGAAGAAGAAGAAGAAAAATTGATAGAAAAAGTCATATTAGTTGCTTTCATTACAATAATTTTTCTTGTCTATGTTTACTATCATGTACATGATGTCACTATGATGAAGATTATTCTTTGCTTCTCCTCCTTTTGTTTTATTGTCACGATATAGACAACTACTTGCATACTTCAATAGATAAATCAAATTACTAATGTAAGTGTACATAGGTTGCTTAAATTAAATTCAGTTCAAGTATCATGAGCAAAACAAATATATAATATTATAATACTTGCGAGAAACAAAAAACTCATCTCTTTGTTTCTTTGTCAGTAAGACGAGAAGAAGAGACTTGAAAAAATTATGAACAGTAGTCGCGTCACAAACCATTGAGTTGTTTGTCTTTGTCATTCGCTTCTTTATGTATATATATATATATATGTATATTGGCACATAACCATACATATAATCAAGCTGTGCGCTCGATTAAATAACCGTGCAAATGATCATCGTATTACCAGTTTTGAGCCGATGAAGAGGAGGAGGCACCAGTAGTAGTAAAATCAAATAGACCTATCAAGCACGACCATTAGGATACAAAGAAACAAGAAAAACGAGAGAAAAAGAAAACGGACGTATACCTGATGAAAACGACTGAAAAGAATCTATTCAATTACGGGTCAACTGTAAACATACAATCGAAACACTAAGAAAAATTACGGTTTGTCATTGTGTATTTATATATGGATCGATGAATGTGACAGAAAGTCTAAGGTAAGTATATGTTCTCATAACGCAGCAGTTTATTTAAGTGACAACTACTCAAGATATGAAGTAAAATCTACGAAAAAAATATATACTTTACAAAAGTATTAGACGATTACTAGTTGTATTTATTTTGTTGGTAAGAAAATTTCTATTATATGTTAATGATTATTAATATATATAGCTCGACTTCGATGAAAATATAAAGAGAGACTGAACTTCATTTACATATTTTTCCTATTGAGTGTTTGTTTCGTTATATAATATATATAACAAAGATTCATTTCCAATTTATTTAAAGTATTACTCTTTGTTCCAGACAACGGTCAACTAGACAGACAGAGGTCATACTAATGACATACTCTCTGACTTGTATTTTGAGAATCATACATCTATTTTATCTTATTAGCTTGATTATTTCCTATTCTTAAATGCGAATAATTCTTCTCCGCCTCCTCATCTTCTTCTTCTTCTTAAACAAATCAAAATTGAAATGCTAACAAAACACAATCAATGCGATGTCTTCTTTAGCTCATCCGTTTACATTTTCTATATGATCGATGATACACATCTGTTTCACGACTTTCGTTTTCTTCCTGTTTTTTTTTCTTCTCACAAATTTACGACTATTTATCTTTTTCTCTTGTATTTTTCTTTGTCCTTTTCCCTTTCGTCGTCATCATCATCATCATTGAAAGTAAATAAGTAAGATATATTAGTGAAAAACCTTGCAGATATTGATCAAGTGTTATCATCACTAGTAGTGGTCTCCTTTTATTTTGATTTACTTTCATCTTGCGACTATCAAACACAAACAAATCGATTAAAGACTTCTTTATTATTATACAGTTGCTTTGTACATTTGTATACGTACGTGTTGTTCTTGTAATCGGAGGATCAAGCACGTCATTATTGATTGTGGCTTTTGTTTACAAATTTGTTGTATGAAGATGAGTTAGTGAACATCATTACAGTTTTTTTATATTCTAGATTAACATAGACACAAAGCGTTACTTTCGAGTGATCAACAACGCATATATATATATTACTGTTTAATATTTTTTATCTATTCAAATCTTATAAATTAAATAATACATTCCAAAAAATATGGGTCATACTGATTCAAAAATATCAAAACAACTTCAAACTTCATCTATCCGTAAGTAATAGTTTATATATATATACAATAATAGAAGTTTACTATTAGAATATATGTAGATTGTTGCACAATAAAACTTATAGAATATAAGAGAATGTGAAGGCAAACATTCAATTATACATACTGATTTTAGGCTATTCTTGTTTTTTATTATCTAATAAAGTGAATATTAAAAAAGAAAGGATAGTCACGCAAGTTAATAAATTTTTATATATGGAATAATTAAAGAATATATTTATCGATGTGTCAATTGAAATTAATAGAAATGTAATCGTAGTCTTATAATAGTTATGTTTCTTCCTTCAACCATGATGAAAGAAGATTTTTTTTTCTCCTTGATTATCCCATTATTGAAGTGTACTAAATATATTTGTCTTTTTTGACGAGATGGAAAAATGTTAATCTTATATACTGAAGGCAAATAGACCGAGATCGAGTTTTTATAATAAGATCACTACTATGTTTTGCGTTGATCATCGATTGACCTCGAATTGTGTTGTTGTATATTTGTTCTCTTTACTTGAAGAATTCTTATATGACGGTCATCACATATTCTCCATTCTTATTATTATTTGATCTTACTATTGAATATATAAATGTATATGTGGGTGTGTTTGTCACCGGACTCGGTGTGCGTGTCATTACTAACACACGTCTATAGACATTCGTTTATGTATGTGTAATAGAACTTTCAAACACTTAGGGGGCGCTCAACCAACTGTTTGCATGTTATATATTGTAGTCTCTCTTAATCTTTCTTCTCTCTCTCTCTTTCTTTTTCTTCTTTTGCTCAGTTTGGTGACACTTCATGTTGAAACAATGAGAGCTGCCGCCGCCGCCATCACTGCTACTACTACTACTAATACTACTATCGTCTATTTTCAGTAGAGCGACAAATTACTTTGGCGGCGGGTGACCGCCGCTTTTACAAGAAGTCTCATAATGATATTTCTCATTCAGTATATATATATATAGTATGGTCAAGTGAACAACAGAAAGAATATATATATATATGCCAGTCTTCGATAGCCATAATTGACTTGGGCAGATGTCCACATTCTCTTCGTCGTACCCTATTACTCTCGCGTTGATCATTCAATACTAATATATATATATGTGCGTGTGTGTGTGCATGTTCAAATTAGTTCAACCACATGTTCATGTATGATGCTACTGTTTATATTGTAGAATTTTTTTTCTCTCTTCTCTTTTCTCTGCCTTCTCTTTAATAGTTTCTCTAACAGCTGATGACCTTCATCACAAGACAATTCTATTACATTTGTTGAGCTTGGTCGATCTTCAACTATATTGTATATACCGTTCTAGAAATGAATATTGGACATGTAGGAGGAAGGAAAAACCAGGATCATATTAGTGTAGTTCATTCAAGCAGATTTTTTTCTATCGCTTTCTCTTTCTATGTGTCTATCATTTTCCCTATCGGATGAGGAAACTTGAGATATCAGCGTGTGATTGTGGTAATGACGCGGTAGATAGCTATATTGGTAATATATAGAAATAGAGGGAAAGATGCGGAACCTTGTTTTGTCGGAATCTAATTCGATTGGGGAAATAGAGTGAGTAAGTGAATAAGCACGAGTTGACAAATGCTTGTTATTATTGAAAGATGATAGAAAAAGACGGATTCTGATTTTTCCCCTTCTCTCTTATTCTACCACATCATCATTTCTCAATTACATCTTTTACTACAGCGTACACATCTAGGACGTTTAAGAGGCGGAGATCGCTAGTTTCCGCCCTATTCATATGTATATTTGTATTGCTCACGTTTGACCAATTCTTTATTACTATTTCTATACTCTTACGATTTCGATTATAGACGTTTGAAATTTTTGTATCATAAAATATAATCTCTATGTAACGCATTTCAAATCTAGATTATTAGTATGAATCTTGTTATGTTCGCTTCAAATACATTTCAATATATAGTGATCACTGTGAAATAGACAGAGACACATTTATTAGTTAGATTCACTCAATAGATATAAAAGCAAACAACATTGATCAGTAAATTGTAAATAATGAAAGTCGATCAGATGATAAAATCGACTACAGCCGACAACGATGTTTGGGTCTTAAGAAATTCATCTACCTATAATCATCATCATCGACGAATGAAACAAGGTAATAATAAGATATTCTTTTTTTTTCTTCTATTATTTTACTCTTATAACCTTATGATAATTATCTTCTTTATAATTCAATAGAACATATTATTTATATATATAAGAAAAAAAAACATCCTTGAACATCTTTCTTTTTTCTTTTTTTGATATAAATTATTCAAAATTGACATTTATAACAACTCTAATGTTGCTAATATAATAGACAAATAGTTTTGACTGATTAAACATGTATTCATATTTTAAATAAACGATCTTATTAAATTTACATTACTCAAATGACAGTAGTTTGAATTGTCAGTTTTTATATTGATAAAGAAAAACATGAGAAATTAAATTGTTTTTGGCATAAATGACTTTTAAGTCTTACGGTTCGTTAATTTGACAACAAGAGAATATTTAATAGGATACTAAAAAAATATTGAAGAAATAAGATGTTTGAATTCGTCTTTGAAGCATAGAAAATAGGAAATCATATATACAATAGATATGTGTGTGAACTCCATTAAAGAATAATGAGTAATTGTCAATTCTAAGCCAGCTGCAAAGCATCTTTCTTTTTTTTCTCTATATTTCTATAACAAACGAGACGATGACCGATAATAATAATGATGATCGATAGGTTTTTCTCCTCCATCTTATTCTAACGCATCATCTATTTCAATCTTAACTTGTTGGACATTTTCCCTCCCACTCTATGTATACATATTTGTAAGCAAAGAAATGAACAGTTGTTCAAGTGACTACTACAACAACGACGATGCTTATCATACATGGAGTTGTCTCTTTTGTTATCATTCTTGTTCAATCTATCTTTCTTTCTATCTATCTATCTTTCTTTCTTTCTTTCATTCTTTTTATAAATCGATTTCTTAAGCAAAAAAAAATGTCTGTGACAAAATAAAGAAAAAAGAGAAGCGCGAAGACAGCAACAATAGCAAAGGCGACAGATAGACCAGAACATGATTAGATCGGTCGTTGTCGATGTCTTGTGAACTATTAACAATTCCAGTGAGAGAAACGTTATGACGTTTTTTGTTTAACAATCTGTATGGAAAAAAAGTCAAAGAGTAACAACTGGGTAAGAAGACAAAACATACATCTGGTCATCGAAATCAACTAGTTCAACTGTTTATGTTGTATAGTGACTACAACATGACCACTTTAACTGATTATAATCGAGACAAAGAAAAGAAAGACGAGAAAAGGTGTGACAAAAATGAAATGAGAAAGAAAGTAAGGAAAGAGAGTGAAAAGTGAGTTGAACTGTTAGACATATATGCAAACAAAGACAGAGAAGAGAATAGATAAGAAATAAAGTGTAGTATAGTTGTGATCATTGTGAAGTATTTTTGGTTACATTTCATCTTCAGTCATGTTCTCTGCATTGACCGATCGATTTTCTATTGCTCGATCACTGGATAATCTTGTTCCAAGTCGACGACTAACATGTACATCAACAGGTAGAAAATTTTATTTATTTTCTTATCTAATACCTTCTGTTACGTTAATTTATATTTTGAATGTATAAAAATAAAAAATGAGAACTCAATTGTTTCTCTTCTAATCATAAGAGTATACCTTCTGTTTTCTTTTTATTAATGCCATCATCATCATCGGCTTTATTTCATATTTTCAATGACGATGATGACAATCCTAAGTGCTATTTTTTCTTTCGATATAGTCATACATATATAATCGTAATGGACATCTGCGTCATATCATAGATTTAAAAAGAGAAGTATTATGCCATTACTTTTATTTTCAAGGTGAGCTTTTCACATTTTTTGATCTCAAGTATAAGATCAAAACACCTGATTGTATAGATGTAAGATAGAAATCATGAATATTGTTATTATACTTATAATGTATAGAGAGAGAGGAAAAAAATAAATTGATCAATCTATTGAGTAATTGACTTGAAATGCTTCGTTGACGTGCATATAAGTATCAATGAAGGCAAAAGTGATTGAAATTGATCAACACCTTTATTGAGTTTTAAAAAGGAGAGAGAAATGATTGATAACATTTATAATTTGAAACAGAGATCTATTATAGATAGATATGTTTAGTTAAAAAGAAACAAAAATAAAAAACTCATATTGGCATTTGTATGACAAGACAAATGACCTTGCGGCAGTTTTCATCGCGATTGCTGCACACACGCATATAGGGTCAGATGATTGTGAACATACATTTTGTTCATGTCTTTAATCTTGTCCAATAAATCTTCAATGATCACGCGACACGAATGTCCGTATAATCTTTTTCTTTTGCGTCCAACATTCTCGTACATACAACATTGATTGATTTAGGTGAGGGAATGAGATTCGTCACCCTTCATGCTCTGCCCTGTTCTCTTAACACTTTGTCTGCCATCATCTACTATATAGAATTCGCATCGTTATCGTCGTTCATCGCCGTCGTCGTCGTCAATGTTGTCTTTCTCTTTTCTCGTTTTAAAAAATTATTTTTTTCGTTCGATGACAAGAGCAGAGAGAGAGAGGGAGAAGAGCGAAAAGAAAGAGAAATGGAAATTTGAACATTTTGATGCATTTATAAACGAAATGTGAAATGCGTGATAGACATTTCAAAATCATTATAATATAATAAGCATGAAAAGATATATATTCAATTTATTAATTATTGTTATTTGAAATAAACTATATAGAAATAAATGACAACAAGTAATCATAGTATTGATTCCGTAAAAAAAGTTTATGATCATGTTTGGCATTGGATAGTCAAACAGACATATGACAGTAAGTAAAATTTATTTTCTTAAGTGTACTAAATTCCATTTTATTCTTTGTATTTCATTCGATGATGTAATACTATTATAGAGCTCATCGTATATACTTAAACACACGCGTGGGTATCACATTTCAGTGGTTCATGTACGATGAACCTATATCAGCGCTTAGCAAATAGAGGTTTACTTCATCATTTTATTCTAAAGTCAATCCTTCTTTCTTTACTTCTTACATTTTTTTTTCTTCTCCTCTTTTTGCGTCTTTATTACGTTTGTTAGGAGTTCATATCAATGGTTTCGTACATAACAGTAGCTAGTAGTATCGTAAATATATGTCTTCTTTATTTTTTTTTCCCTTCTTATATTTACAGATCTCTCTCTCTGTGTCTCAGTAGGAAAAGAAACAAATGCAAACAACTTATAATGATAAAAGTTCAATGAATAAAATCTTAAGAGAAGATTGTCATAAACCGATTTTTAGAAAATTAATTTTATAGACTATATTCTATCACCTTGAATAGGACACTAGTAACTCATTAACATGCTGTTCAAATAGACATACATACATACGTAACAGCAGTTAAGTGAAAAGAAAAGTTTCAAGTATCGACCTTTATTCTTGTACGATGACAACGAACTTCAAAGAGTAATGCATACAATATGAGAAGGTTATATATATATTTGAGAATAAATATATAATAGACAGACATGGAGAACTATGTTATTCATAGTTTTAATTTCACGGATACAGCAATAAGTTCGATTTCAAGTTTTTTTCAATGGAAAAACAAACTAAAATGATACATAGATTAATTGATTCATATTAAAGCTTTTACTTGATATTTATAGTAGTTAAAATATATTTAAGAGCCTTGACAAGTGTTTATGTTTGTATAGAAACATCTGTTTCTTCCAAAAACTACCATCACATGTACATTTATGTACTTGAAATTTCAATAGATGTATTGTTATTTAAAAGGATTTTTTATTTTACGTTAAAGAGAAAATAATTTAATGAATCTAACTATATTATATATTATCTGATAATCGAATCTATAGGGAAACTCTGTGTTTCTTTTTGATTCGATCTTATCGCTTTGAACGATAGGCATGTGTCGCCTCGATCAGGAAAAAGGAAATGGCAATGAATGCTATTTTCTTTGTCAGTAGTATATAGGTTATTATCTTAGTGGCCGGTTCGTTTCCTTTTCATGATAGTTACTCATTTGTATAAAATGCCCAATTTTCTCACGCAAACATTCTTACATCATTCATTCATTCTAATAATTGTCTTTCTTCTCTTCTATTTCTAGTCACAGATTCACCTATAAATTCAAGCAATATAAATAATCGAAAAACGAAGTCAAATGGAAATGATCTTTGTCAACAAGCAAAATCTTGTCAAAATATGAAATGTATTGTTTCATCTAAACAAACATTAATTCCAGTAACAACAAAACGTACAACACCAGATTATTCTGATATGGAACGGAATAATATTTATGCTGAAACTCCACCAAAAACTAAACCACCACCAACATCATCTGTATCACCGCCAACACTTGTTAATGGGACAAATCATTATATGCCTATACTTCAACAAAAACGCCCAACAAATAATGCAACACGAAATATGAATATGACATCGAATTCATCAATGTCATCATTTTCAACCGTAACTTCTTCATCGCAATCAACGACACCATCAAACTCATTTCGTAATGATGCAACGTCAATAATGACACGTTCAGCTGACGCATCATCATCATGTGGATTAATAATGCAAACAAAAAATGGTACAAATAATATCAAATCAAAATCAACATATGATATTGATTCATCAATAATTGATCGATCAAGACAACAAGTCAAAGAGAATTTGAATAATAATAATAATAATAATAATAATAATAGTAAATGTTTAAATACAATAACAAATGGAAATTTTGTACCATTACAATCTGTTAAAGAAGATGAATGTCTTGAAGTTAATAATGATCGAGAAAAAAATTGTTCCAAGGTATTATTATTAAAAGCTTTTTTATTTATTTAGTATTTACAAAATAATATTTATCTTTTTTTTTAATTTAAATGAAAAGGACAAGCGGGATGAAAATAGTTTTTTTTTTCAAGAGATAAAATAGACTCAAGAGAAATCTTTTCTAGTAGTTAATCTCAGGGGATAAGTCATTAGTCGTTAGTAATAAATAGATAACGCTTTTTTTTTATTGCAAGCTCTTCCTTTATATAAAGAACTATAAAAGGTAGAGAACCCAATTTTTCAATGACGGTATTCTATTTAATATACTGCTCTAATTATTGGATACCTTACAAGGATGTGTCTATTCTTTTTTTTTCTCTTCTTTTTGAATTTTTCTTATAGTATATAGGTCTACACATTTATCTTCATTTCTATAATTGTAGTTAGCTGGTTAGCCACTAAGATAAAAGACACTCGAGGGGACGGTCGAACATCGACTAGCTGTTTGCCTGATGTGTGCACACACCGTCCATTTATTTTCTTGTACTAAGCTTTGACTCCTTTGATTATTGTCGTTGTTCAGTTTCCCGATATATCTTTTGTTCTCTCGCCTTTATTTTATTACTATTATTCTTTGTTGCTTCGACCTCTGCCGCGTGTATTGTATTGTGTGTGTGTGTGTGTATATATATGGCATTAGTAGATGCCATGGTCAGCCAATTGTATATACATATACATTGTCATTGTGATCGCTCTTCTTTCTTTATCGTTATTTGTTACTGTTCAATGTGTTAGAGAAGCATATATAGCTGTTGATTTTTTTCTTTTCCTCTTTTTTTCCTTTCCTATGTTTTCTTTGATACTAAAAGATAGAAATGAAGTGTCGAATAGTGCTCGTTAATTTGAAATTGATCATCATTAAGATGTCTGTCACTCCATTTTGTCTCTTTTTCCTTTAGCTTGATCTAGATGCACGTTTGCACGTTCTTTCTTTTTTTTTGCCGCATTATCATTTTTTTTTGTGAAAAGATGATTGTCTTGTCTGACCGAGATTTAGTTGAGCGAGTCGTCCGTTTCTAACTAATATAAATGTAAGAAGAAGAGAAAGAAGAAAAAGAAAAAAAAGAATATAAGTAGGGGCAGTATGTAGACGTGAGGCGGCGGCGAGTTCATACGATGTGTAAGTTGTAAACGACAAGCGCCAGTCACAGCATCAGAAGTAACTATCCTAATTCATCGTCGGAAATTATTGTTGTTAATATTTTTCATATTGATGTATATGATGAAGGTAAAAAAACAGAGTGAGAAGTGTTAACCTCTAGAGAAATTTAAATATAATTTGTAGTAACAATAGAAAATGAACATCATCACCGATTGATAGCAACTATCTTGTGATGAATAATAGTCATAAAAAACAAAGTACCTCTCTTTGTTCCACGCGATTTATCTAAGGTTTTATCATTATATTTTATCGGTGGCAGTCACCCGAATGAAGCCGTTTTTTTCTCTCCAACGGGCAGCGCCTCTAACGAGAAAGAGAGACAGAGAGGGGAAGAGAATTTGAACACATTCATACATGTATATCCAGAAAGAGAGAGAGAGGACTATTAAGAAATCATCCTCGTCGAATGATTGATTCGCGTGTGTTTACTACATATATCTATTGCATAACATAATACACATATAACTTATGAGATGAGGCTTCAACAGACATATGAGTCGAGTGAGTAAGTGAGAGAAGATAGACATAGTACTCGAAAATGCAACCCGAATCCTTTATTGTATGAATGATTGTCTGAAGGCAATGTATAGGTGGGAGGTTGATGTGAATCTATAACGATAATAATCTTGTAGCAGTAAAAAGAAATTAATCGGATTGTTTGAGTGTGTGAATAAGCATAAGAAAAAGATTTTCTTTTCTCTTTTCCTTTTCTCTCTCTACCTCTCTCTCTCTCGTTGTCGTTTTTTTTATGAGAGCTTGTTTGATTAGTCTTACTTAGCTATTGGTTACATCTATATCTATATCTATATTAATTTACAGAATGGCGATGAACAGCAACGTATGTTGATCGACATACTTAAACAAAAATATCCTCGACAACATGTTTCATCATCATCATCATCAGCTGTATCGACACCAATGATGGTAAAACATATATACTAATTATCAGTATAACATCTATGTTTCTTTTATAATAGCCACGAACAAATTCACCTCATCAACGTTCATCATCAACTGATCCTACTGATGAAGAATTAACAACAAATGTAACAAATGGTAAGAATGAAAAATATCTTTATTTGAGAATTCAATTTTATATTTTATTAGGTTTTATTCGTGGTCAACGTAATCGTTCAAGCCTTCCATTTATTATAAAACCTGCAACAAATATGGCAAAAACGAATTCACTTGGTAAATTATTCTAATTTAATCAAGAGAAATAATAACAAAAAGAATTTATCGTTTTTTAGGTCTTTGCTTTTTAATTTGTGGTGGTGAAACAAAAAAAGTACTTCTTCCATCGTATATTTCATGTATAGATACACTTAAGGCATTATTTGTTCGGTAAGTTTTCTTTCTTCTTCTTCTTCTTCTTCTTCTTTTTTTTCTTGATAGTTTCTCATTAACATAGGCAAAGCCGATAGTGTAGAGACAGAAAGAGAGAGAGAAAGAGAAAGGAAAAAAAAATTGAATGAATGATTATAAAGAAGAAGGATTGTGTTCATCCGGTTTTATATCATGAGATTTTTTTTCTATTCATTGTCTCTATTTAAAGAGCATTTCCGCAACATCTGACAATGAAACATATGGATACCGACGATGTACGAATTTATATACGTGAACCGGATAAAGATATATTTTATCAATTAGAAGATATGAGGTAAAATGTCACTTAAAATGTCAAATAGTAACTATATATTCATATTTTTTTTTCTGTTCATATAGTGATGTCAAAGATCGTGCCGTCCTAAAAGTCGTTCATTTAATCAATACTACTACTAATAATAATAATCATAATATTAAACCTCAAGTTTCATTTAAAGAACCTGAGTCAGATGAAGTATCTGTTTATGTTCCATTTACATCACGTCCAACATTAGCAAGCGAAATTACATATCAACGTTTAAGTCGACTTGGTCGTGTACCATCGACAACATCCATTGTACCGACATCAAGAAATGGATCAATGGACGATAAATCAATATCATCTGTTTCTGCTAATTCACAAATGTCATCAAGCAGTTCGTCGTCTCGTTCTCTCAGTGAACCAAGACGTCGAATAAACAATAATGAAACAACAGCTATTACTCATAATAATCCAACATATGCAAATCCAAGTACATTAGGTTAGTTTTTAGAATTGTTCAATATAACCATTTTTACAATTTTATTGTCTAGCCCCAAAGGGTATTCTCTCGTCACCGAGAAGTGGTTCAACCACTCCGACAACATCACGATTTCATGATGATGATGCTCAGTAATAATTTTAATTTATCTTTTATTTCGAAATCTCATAATGATTATTTTTTTTTTAGAAATAAAATGATGTGGATGGAAAAACAACTTGAATCATTAACTGAACTAGTTAAAGAGTTAACTCGTGAACGAGCACTTAATGAACACCAATTATTAACAAGAACAGGAATATATAAAGGTATTCTATCGATTGATTATTGGGAAAAAAAACGTATTGAATAATAATGTGAGTTAGTGCCCTTCAGGTTATCGATTAATTTCTAGCCGATGATGTCATTTCCTGCTCGGAGCGTATTCAATCTCGATTAAAATAAAAATAGATGTCAATTTAGAACGTATACACATATATATCTTTAGATAAAAATGAATTGATTCTTTTGTTTTATTACTATTTGATTAACTAGTATATATATTCATTTAGACATTAATTATAAATCATTACGTCAACAATTATATGAATTAAAATTAAAAACACATACATTACGTAATGATTTAGTATCTGTACGACGTATGCAACAATCATTACAAGTAAATTTTAAAACAGAATTACAAGATGCAAATAAAAAAATTGAAGTAAATCAAAAGTTTGTCTTTAATTTAAATTTAAATATTTATTTTTAAGAATCAAATATATCGATTACATCAAATGGAAATTCGTTCAGTACAATGTCGAACTATAGAAAATGAACTTGATTTATATGTAATAAATAGTACAAAGATTGATCGAGATTTAGAGTATGATTAAATACTATTTTCATTTTTATTTATTTTCACGTTTTTTTGTTATGAAATTCTAGAGATTTAGAAGCATCAGTTGAAGAATTACAAAATGATGTGAAATCTAAACACTGTTATGTAACGATGAATGATGTAGAAAGTTTTGCTCTAGTTCTAAGTACTATTAGTCGATCATTGGTCGATCTTAAAGGTAAAAAAGAAAATTTAATGATAAATCAATATTAAATTGAATATTTCTTAATTAGCTTCATTTCCTGTATTACGTGAAAAAATTTGTTCACTCGGCCCACAATCAACATTAAATGATGATCAAAAGTAATGATTTACTTTAGAAATTAATTTTGAACTATGATGGGTTTTTTTCTTTAGATTTTTACATGAAGAACCGGAACGTCTTGATTATACAATAAAAAAATGTAAACGTTTAACTACGATGCTCTATCAATTAAAACGATTAGCTGTTAGTCAAGAACAAAAAATAGTGCTAACAAAAACTCAACGACGATTTTCATTGGGTTCAAATGGAAAATCAGTTGATCGAAAACGTTTATTAGAACAAATTGAATCAATTACACAAAATTCTGATGGACGAATTAAAGCAATTGAAGTTTGTTTAACTTTAAAATACATCAAAATAGTTTATTCTTTGTTTGTTTTAGAAAGCAGAAAAATTACGAGATCGTCGTTTAAACTATGCAAATCAATTAGATACATTGAAACAAATGAAATATACAGCTGAACAAGTAATACAATCTCGAAGAAAATAATCATAAAATAAATTCTTTTTTTGTCCAATTTTTAGACGAATGGACATGATTTAGGACAATGTTTTGATACACGAAGTTTAACAAATTCAATTTTACTTTCATCAAGTACACGAACAAGTATATGCTCAACACAATCGACAACAGATTCAACTCCATTATCAAATAATTGTCCATCACCATCACTTTCATTTATTGTACGTCATGCACTTATTTCACCAACAAATCCAACATCAATGACAAATGATATAAAAATGCGTTCACATTCATTAATAAAACCACCATCAAAAGTAACATTTTCTCAACAATTAATAACAAATGGAAAATCTTCTATAAGTTCACGTGATCATTCAACGGATTCATGTTTATCAACAAATGGTATTTCTATCAATAAAAAAGGTAAACCAACACCACCACCACGTGTTCAAAGTACATCATCATCAGCTGTATCGAGTGCCGCATCATGTTCATCATCATCTAGTTCATCAACGTCATCGAATGGTAGTGCAAATTCACGTTCAACGAATGGCTATTGTGGTATTATACCACTTGTTATATCACCTGATCGTCGTCATAGTGGTCGATGTAATTCATTTTCATCATCAAGTACAGATACTGATTCCGTTATATCAAATCCTCGTGGAACTATATCACATAAATCGCCAACAGTACTTAATACAAAACCAATATTACTATCAAATGGTTTTCATCATAAAACAGCAACAACATCAGCTACAAATCCAACAACATTGATGCGTGCTTCTGTTACTGATTTGTAATATTAATTAGTCTGTACAATTGGATATATAAAAATATATATATGTATGTGTGTGCGTGATTGTACAGCCTTGTTGTTTTGTTTGGTTTTTTTTTACTATTATTTTTTTTTTCTCTTTTCGTTTTCTTTTTTTCTTTTTGTTCGTATCGTTATATTATAGCAAGAAAAGAATAAAAGTCAATCATCATATACCCTGAGGCTATTGTGTATTCAGAAACGAAAAATCGATCGAGCGAAACATGATGAAATACTGATACAAAGAATAAAATTGATGCACATGACTGTTTAAGTTGTCTTCCATAGAGAACAATAAGATATAAGTTGATCTACAAATGGGAACAATACTAAGGTGAGTCATACTATTTTAATTAATTTTGTTACCAAGGATATAGACACTATTGTCAATAAGTCTAAATATAATAGTCAAGGTGTGTTTTTTTCTATATATAAATATCTATCTATCTATCTATGATAGTTCTAAGAGGGATTTCAATCCAGTACTTGCCAAACAACCAAGAACGTCAGTTAGCATACCAAGGTATGAATTATTGAGCACCTTACAAGCACGAAATTCCATTATTCCACTTCCAGTAAGTAATTTATGTTTGAATGCATTAGTTTAGCCCATGATATATATAAAAATATATTATGAAATATTTTCTACTGAATAGATTCCTTCTCCTGAACGTATTCAACAAAATAAGACACAGAATGATAGTGTTACTCATAATTTTTCGAATGAACCTTCGACAGTAATTCCTACATCACGACAAGTATGAGTTTTTTTTATTTCATTGTGCTACAAATAAATAGTTCAATTATTTTTATAGTCAAAACCAACTTTGCCTTCCCAGTTAATAACTTCATCATTTCCTGTCTATAATCAAACACCACAAGAAAATTCACAACAACAAATGCCTAAACAGAATGCGTCGCATATAATTCGATCGAATTCATCTTTAAATAATAAAACCGTGAAGGACAATACTATTGTTCTTTCAAGTTCTGTTATCAGTCTAAATGATCAACAACATTTCAACAATCATAGTTCTTCATCATTACGACGTCCTCCTACTTTAGTCAAACGAAATGGAAAACAATTCATTATTGAATTTAAAGAACGTACTGAACGACGTTATGTACAATATAATGATGATCGAACACATCAGAAAAGAATTTTTGAAGTTACTGATTGTATACCGTATAGAACAATAAAGCCATATATGCGTGAATCTCAATCTTCATTAAACAATGATAGTTTATCAAATAGTTTGCATTCTTCTCTTCCATCAATACCTAAAACTCGATTAGAATCAAACAAATTAGCAAGTTCTAATTCACATAGAGATTCAAGTGCGTATATTCGAATGTCCTTGTAATTCAATATTAGTTTTCTTTCGAAAAATATTATCGTGTCAATCATATAAATGAGTATATACTTTAGATTATCATAAACACAGAGTGCCTGCCAGTAGTAGTCAAAACATTTATTATGAATCTACTATCAGTTCAACTCCACCACCATATCAATCATATTATCAACCAACAAAACAAAATACAAACAATTCAGATGATTATCACATTCAACATTCACAATCAAGTTCATTCAACTATACAACTATTAATCCACAAAAGACACCTAATCAATATTCATCTAAACCATTTCATATTCAATCATCATCATTTCGAGCACATACACCATCTAGTTATGATTATATTGGAAATTCCTTCGAAACGGATTCTATTAGTAAATATCAAAATATTTGAATGATATCTACTACTGTTTACTTGTATTTCTCTAGATTCAAATTATGAATTCAGGGAAAAAATGCATAATACAGATACTAATCAAACAAAACGTACGAATTCATCACTTTGTTATCAAACAATTGGTAAACATCAGTCATCTACATTACAAGATTCATTTGCTCGTTCGACAACGCCAGTGAATAGTCATCAAGATCGAGTATGGCCTGATATTAATAAGTATGTATTCAATTTTTCGATATTAAATTCTATTTGATTATGATATAGCTATGTTATACCTGCAATGAATAATCGAAAACAGCAACAATTGATTAATTCTAATTTTATCTCGACTCCAACTATTGATAAACAATCAAGTAAATTTATCTAATAATTATTACTATATTTTCGTTTTTTAATTTTTCTTTATTATAGATCAAAATGAATTTCCTCGTGACAATAAAAAAGGAACAAGAGTTTCTTTCATTTAACAAATCAGCTTAGCTTTTTTCATCAAATATCAGTATCTGTTATTTTCTTATCGTATTTCATAGATAAATTACATATTATATATATATAGAATAGATTTGAAACGAATATATTGTGTATTTAAATAAATATTTTATTAATCGATACCGGATATTATAAATATCTTCTACTTATTATTCATAGTCTATCTGCTTGAATAAATTCTATTTTATAAATTATAATTTGTGAAAGTATCATTGTAGACAGATTTAAAGCATTAAAACTGTTTAATAAGCAACAAAACCACATATTTTTTCATTTTAACCACATGACTTTTTTTCTTCTTTCTTCTCTTTTTTCCAAGCATTATTTAAATAGGCTGAAGAATTGAAGAAAATAGTTATTTTTTTGTTGTTCTCGTCATCCTTCATTCTTATACAACCACATATAAAACTCATTTATTACGTTTTTTTCTTTTTTACAATAATATGGCAAGAAATGCTAGATTCGTTAATAATGGTATTATCAATTTGGGGACATTAAAGACTCTTGATGATGTGAACAAAGTGATAGAAATAAAAGATAAATTAATAGTTATTCTTTTCAACGTACTGTAAGTTAAAACTGAAAAATAAGAGAAAGTTCATTTGTTTTCTATTCATATATCTTCATTTATAGATATCCTGACCGAGATAGTCTCGAGACCAGAATGAAGAGTTGGGCAAAAACATTCGAAAGCGATTATAATGCTCAGTTTTATAAATGCGTTGTTGTTGATGGAGAACAAGATATTAAGAAAGAATTCAAGATTAATGAACCACCAGTAGTTATTTTTTATCGTAATAATCAGCAACTCGAAAAGATAGATCAATTTATTGAATCGGATCCTAATCAATCAGATATAACAAAACCTGGCGAAGATAGCAAAGATGAAAAAAAAGTTAAAGAAAGACTTATTCATCATCATAAACACAAGTCCACTACGTAACTTTTTACTTTTAAAACATTATACTAATCAAATAACTTTCATACATACATTTATCCATGAAAACCATGTATTTTTACTTTATGTCTAATGATATTTTCTTTATAATAAAAGTTTTTTCGTAAAACATTATCGATTAAATAATCAATTTCTTTTTTTATTAACACAAATTATAATTGTGGATAATTCAAAAACAAAAAAATTCTAAAATCTATTTAGTAGACACGTTTATTTTTTTATTATTCTATTATAAAAATTCTCAGAAAAAGATTGTTTGTTTAGTGACATACATTAGACGTTTCAAAAAAAAATAAAGGTAAAGAATATTTCTCTTCTTTTCTTTCTCTTACTGTTTGTCAAATATTACTTAAATATTCATTGCAATTCGATATGAAAGCAAATCTTTTTTTGTTTAGCTATGATAAAATACTGCGACAATAATAGTCTTCTATGTCGTACAAAACAACACTTCGTATGTTATTAACTTTTACAAAAATAAAGAAATAAACATAAATACTGGAAATAATACAACACAAGGGTGTGGGTATGAATGAAATACATCCACCCTAGCTATTGTATGCTCTGAACATACAATGACACCGATGAACAACTGCTTGATTTATTTGTGTCTGTTTCCATAATCAAAGGTGTTAGATACCTTTACTTAACGATAATCTGTCAAGTGTATATTCTGCTTAGTTTTAGCTACAAATAAACGAATAAAATTAGCATCTGTTATTTTTTTTTATTAACGAAGAAAACGCAGTATTCATGACTTGCATTTTAACAAATGCCTTATATCGTAGAATATTCTCATTGGCATCAGTTGTTGATAAAGCTTTTTTAGAAAAGAAAAACAAGATTCAAAGTATTTTTTAAACAAAAACTCAATTATTCAACATGAATTTTGATTAAATTTTCATCTTTAGTCAAGGAATTCAGTTATTGATGACAATAGTTAAGTGCTAAAGACCAAAACGAGTCAAAAAAATTCAACTCAACTCTGCTTGAGTCGATATACATCTAAAAATGTATGACTGTGAAAGTGTATCTTCTTTCAACCCACCCACACCCTTAGGACGATATTGTTGTCCGAAGCTTCAAATCAAAATTTAATGTACTTCAAAATGAATATGAAAAGTATTTTACTACGAAGTTGCTAAAACCACTCTAGTAAAAATGTAGTATTTCAAGATTTTCTGAAATATAGTTAAAGTTATGGAAATTCCAAGATTATCAATGGGTACAGCTTGTCGAGTTGTACTTGAAGCACCATCTCAAGTGAATATGGTATCAACTTTACCTACGTAAACTTTTGATAATGACCAAAGGTTAACTAGTATAAATTCATATATATTTTTTTCTTTACATGAAAAACAAATTGATATTTCTTATCCATCTAAATCTATTATGAATCAGTCATTATCTATTAATAAAACAAACAATATACATATAAAATATTTCTGAATCTGACATTTAGCTTCTTTATATACAGTATAATTTAAAATTAGATTCGACATTTTTTTTTGTTAAAAGAGTGATCAAAATTCGAGTCGACTAGAGGTCGTTTCTGTCTAATTTGTGCTTCTCCAGATTGTATTTGTTGTTGACTGCTAGTACCATTTTCATCTTCATCTATCATTTTTTTACGTTCAGCTTGCATTGCATCATCGAGCCATTCGACACGCATCGATTGTTCGATATCAGTATGAATGTTATCATCAGTAATATTACTTATTGATCGAATTATTTGAATTGATTTTCTATTTTGTTCATCATCATTGATTATTGACCGAGACATAATTGTACTAGTATTGCTATTATTAGTAAGAAATTGTGCTAGCGATGATTCAAGATCATTAAGCATTGTTTCTGCTTCATTCGAAATTTGTGATAATGGTTTTGAAGACGATGGAATGACTTGAGATGATGATGATAAAAGTTGAGTAGTCGGAATTGATGTGACAATATGAGATTTTTGTTTTTTATCGATAATTGGTATAATACGAGAAGTTTGTACACGTTTCAAAGTTATTACAGGTTTCATTGTTGTTAATGAAGGAACATGATTCTCTTCGTCTTCATCATCATCATCATCTTCAGAAACAAAATTCTACAAAAGAAAATAAGTTTAACTATTGAAATTAATTCGATTTTTTGTTAATCTACTAAAGATCGATTTGGATTATAAGTAGTAGCATATAATTTTTCAGCTACACGTTGTCCAAATTTCTGACAAGCTTTCAACCATGCTGGATGTACACATGTTGCTCGATATTCTTCAACTTTTTTATATTCTTTTCCTCTTTTACTCAATTTTCCCTAGATAAATAGAAAAATAATAAATATTCTTCTATTTCATTTAGATAACAAAAAAACTAACTTGACATATATAATGAGTAAAAGGTACATCAAATACCCAAACAAATTTTCCACCAAGTTCTGTACATTGCTGATGTAAAGTCGTTCTATTTTTTGTTAATTGTTGACTAACAAAAATGACAACACCTTGTAATGGAAACTTATTCTCTATTGACTAAAAACAATAATAATAAAAATATTTAATAAATTATATTTTATTACTAATGATTGAATTTCTTCTGACATATTCGACTCTTGTTTGTTAATGAAAAAAGAATACATATGACTAACAAACCGTTTTTTTATTTTACCAATCAAAATCACTTGTATCTAAGCGACATCTATAGAAAAATTTTAATCTAAACCAATCATTTACGAAATCCTACGTTTTGTTTTCTTTGAAGGTTAAAAACGGAGTTTATTTTGTTTTAATTTCGCTACTTTCTTTCTATTTAGTCCATTGTTATGTGATTGTTTTAAAACACTCCAATGTTTTTAATCAGGCAATGAATACCTGTTATTATCTAATTTTTTTATTTCTCTTCACATCATTTTCTTATGGATACGAAAAATCATCCTTTTATTCAGCATTATTTGATGATGATACAAATACAGAATCGAATACTGAAGAAGAAGGATGGCAATCAAATGATGATGAAATTATTGAGGAATTGAAATCTCATCGAGCTTCATATCAACTTGAACAAGATTTATTAGCAAATATTTATGCACCCGATCGAACTTATGTATCCGTACATGATAATCGTATTCATCCATCGAATTTTTCTTATTTTACATTTAAAAACCATGGAACTTATCGTTTTATTTTAATAACATTACATGGTGACGCAGATTTATATGTCTCAACACGTGATAAACATGTTTCATATGATAATTATGAATATAGTTCATGTACATGTGGTATTGATGAAATACTTATTGATCCTTATGTAAAACGTCCAATTTATATTGGTGTCTATGGTTATTCACAATATCAAATAAGTCATTATCGTTTACTGATTGAATTAGTAGATGCAACGATTCCAACTGATGAAATATTCAATGAAAAATCTACGCAAGAACAACAAACTTCACATTTAGATCAAAAACCTTCGCAAGTTGTTGTCGAAGGTGAAGATAATCGATCACATATACTATGGAATATATTTGTATGGCTACTAAATATTCTTGTCGAAGTTCTAACTTAATATGTTGTTTTTTTTCTTGTCTTTCATTTTCATTTTTTTCAATACGCATATTTTATTTATTTCTACCGGTGTTTTATTTGCTTTTGCCAATTGACTGATTCGTTTTTTTTTCTATTTTCTTCAGTCCCTCCTTAACATAATTCATGTCATATACGTGCACATTTTCTTTTTCAGATTATAGTTCAATAACAAAAAATGACCAGTGTATTCAATCCATTTGCTTCACATTATGATGCCATTAATGATAAAGATGATTTTAATATTGGAATTACAGATAGAAAGAATACAGTTGCTCCATTAGAAACAGAAGCTGAACGAAATATTCGTACACGTACTGTGTAAGTTAAAACAAAAAAATTTGTTTTTGAATGTTTATATATTTCTTGTTTAGTACACCAGTTGTTACTGGTTCATCTGTTGCAGCTTTTATATTCAATGGTGGTGTTATTTTAGCTGCTGATGTACTTGGTTCATATGGTTCTTTAGCGAAATATCGTAATTTACCACGTATTCATCAAGTAAATGATCAAACAGTTATGGCACTTAGCGGTGATTTATCTGATGCTGATTATATTAAAGAATCTATTGATGCTAAAGTGTATGTGAAAATATTTTACTTGATTTTTAAAAACAACTAGACTTTTTTGCTTTCAGTGATGAAGATATCGTTCAAGAAGATGGAAGTGAAATGACACCAGTAGCTCTTCATGCTTGGTGTACTCGACTTTTGTATCATCGACGAACAAAATTAAATCCATTATTAACAAGTGTTATAGTTGCTGGTCTTGAAAATAATGAACCGTAAATATAGACAGAGTTTTTTGTTTGCCATATAAAATATTTTTCTTTATAGATTCCTTGGACGTGTTAATGATAAAGGTTCAGCTTATAAAGAATTTTTAATTATGACTGGTATTGGTAATCATTTAGCTCTTGTAAGTTTAAATTCATAATAAAATAACTTTTTGTTTTCCTAATATTTATTTTTATTTAGGGTTGGGTTCGAACAATTCTTGAAAATTCAGCTCAATTAAATAAAGATCAAGCTGAACAATTAATGGATCGTATCATTAAACAACTTTACTATCGTGATTGTCGTGGATTTGCTCGTGTAAATAAATTTTCTGTGTTTTTTATTTTTCGAAATATTCTTTTTCTTCTAGTATCGTGTTTGTATTGTAACCAAAGATGGTGTTGAATTCAAAGCTAAAGAAGTTCAACCTGATTGGAGTTTAGCACCAGCATTGTAAGTTTTAATATATTTTCGAATTATTATATTCATTGATTATTTTTTCTATTCTAGACGCAACACAGAATAAATGATCAATTTCGAAATTTATGAAACAATAAATTGACAATATATAGCCGAGAGTTTTCATGCTTGTCTTGTTATTTCATTCTTGTCTCTTTTTCTTCTTCTTCTTTTTTTTATTACCATTCTAAATATAGACAAAGTCTTATTTCATGTTTTATATTATTGCGTTATTCATCTCATTATAGATCGATATAAGATCTTTGAAATAATTAATAACAAACTATTAATTCCCATATTTGATGTTAATAAGAAAAGGTTACACCTCAATCAAGTATAAAATAATATTTTCATTTTCTTAAAAGTACATATAAGATACTCTTGAAAATATAATTAGCAAATTTCAACAAGTTTCTATTCTTATTATTTGAATGAATGATGTTGTAATATCATTGATATAACGCCATTGACGAAAAAAAGAAAGTGTAATTACTTGTATTATATACTGTTATCGATTATTTAATGAAACTTATTCTAATCGATATTTATATGAGCTTTCTTTTTTAAAATCATAATGACAAAATATGATTGATTAACATCTGGTTTAATCTATCTATCTCATCATTAAACTGTTACATATCATGTATCATATTTCACATTTTTCATCTTTCTTTTGTATTTTTTAATTTGTGTATCTATCGCGTTTCCACTGGCAATTCTACTATGTTCAAGATTAGAAGACAATACTGTGCCCTTTCAACACATACTACATTCAGTCTAATCAGAATGTTTGCTTTTATACCGTATGTTCTTCTCTTTATCGATTATTATTAAGATACATCTTCTTTGTTTTCCATTAACGTCTATATTGATAGTTCAATCGGATAAGATATATATGTTACTGAGTCTGTCTGTAACCGGATATCTCATCGTAGTAACAATAAATGAATTGATGCATCACGTATCCAAAACAAAAAGAACTAATTACTTTTTTTCCTTTATTTTTTAAAGACTTTCTATTAGTAAATATACATATTCACACTTTTGTCAACTATGATTAGTCAGGTAAGATGATGACACATCATCTTCTTCTTATTCTTCTTTATTGTATGTATGGCACGCGTCAACTTCTTCATCTCTCTTTCTCGCGTTTTTTTCTCTTCATTTCACTCTATTCAACTCGTCATTCTTAATGCTTTTCTGTTGTACGAATAGTTCATCGAAAGAGAGAGAGGAAGAGGAAGAAGAATGAGAGAAAGAGAGAGAATGACCGTTTGACCGGTTCAATGTTACTTCGTTGTATATTCATGTCATGGCTATTGGTCGATGAGGGATAGATGGAACAACGTACACGAGAAAGAAGAATATGTATGTAAAAAAAGTCTGTTCGTTTTCCCTTCACTGCCGTCAGTCTTTTTACCAATGACATTAATTGAAGCGGCGACTGCTATTATTGCTGTCCTACTTTCGTGATGTATGTGTACCATCGTCATCATCTTTTTTCTATCACATTCATTATAAACATTACCTATACATCTGTTCAATTTTTTTTCATATAAATATATAGAACCCAGTTAACTTTGAATATTGACCTTAATCATTCTTTCTTTTTTTTTTGTTAAATTGAAATATGAGAATGGAACGGAAATAATCCAATGTATTATTTTTCTTGTAATATGAGTTTTATATTTTTAGATATTTTCAATTTTATTGATTTATACGAAACAAAATAATAATGTTCAAGTTTAAACTCGGACGTAAACAGCCCGAGGATAATGAAGCTCGTCGACGTCTTCAAAAAGAATTATTCGGATTAAATAAAGTAGAAAATTGAATTTTTATTTTTAGCTTGTGTCATTTACATTAATTATTTATTTTAGATTTGTGATCGAGGTTTTCCTTCACGTCCATCAGCTCTAGCTTATGATTCTCAATTAAAATTAATTGCTATTGGAACACATACAGGTGAAATTCGAATGTAAGTTTAAATTTGATTTCAATATCTACTTTCTAATCTAATCTATTTCCTAGTTATGGTCAACCAGGATTTCAATTATCATATAGTCTTGATTTAAATCCATCATCATCAATTTATAAATTAATTTTTCTTGATGGTGTAGCACGACTTCTTGTTTTAACTATTGATGGTTATTTACATTTACTTGAAATCAATAATTATAATCCAACAAATAATGATTTTTCATCATATAGTACAGTACGACTTGATCGTATTTGTACATCAAGTGATGATGATTCAATAATATTAAAAAATACACAAACAATATGTTTATTACGAAATCATTTAAATCTATTAATTGGTCTTAATGATGGAAACATTTATTTATTTAATATTGAAAATTTTTCACTTAATATTAATCCAATTATTCCAACAGATATTATTGAAAAAACGTAAGCGAACAAACTATTCCCCTATGATTAGATAAATTAATCTTTTCTAGTTTAATTAAAATGAGTAATTCTCATGAGAAGCAAAATTTTTCTTTTTGATTTTAATAAAAAAAATGATCAAAGGATTTTATTTTTTACTTTAGAATTGTGGAATACTGTAGTGGTCGTATTATTCATCCAGGTCCGGTACAATCAATTGTTCAACATCCAATAAATGAAGATAAAATATTAATTGGATATAAAAATACACTTATTGTTCATTGGGATTTACCATCAAATAGTCATGATAGAACTTATATTTATAAACAAGAAGTTGAATCTGTTTGTTGGTATAATAAAGGAATGAATTTTGCTACATGTCATAATAATGGAAGTTATGCATTATGGGATGCAAAACAACAATTAAATATAGTTGAAACAGAAAAAATTCCATATGGACCTTATCCATGTACACCAATGACAAAAGTTTGTGTTAAAATTATGCGAAAGTAAGTTAGAATCCTCTGAGAGAGATTGAAGAAAAAGTTTTTTTCCGATAATTTTATATTTAATCTGTATCTCCCTACGGAAATTTTGATCGTGATATAACTGTCTGATTATCATGATGTAAATTCGTATCTCAATAATTACAAAGATTTAGTTGAATATATATAAAATTGTTCTTTTTTTTTCATTTGAAGTGGTGATCCTTTAATAATATTTGCCGGTGGCTTACCACGTTCAAGTTATTCAAATAAACATAGTGTTAGTTGTTTATCTGAAAATGAACATGATCATAATAATGATCGAACACGGCATGTTACATTTGATTTTACAACAGCAGTTATCGATTTTTTTACCATCGATAAATTATCAAATGATGGATGTATGTTCACATAGAATTTTTTGTTTTGAAAAGAAAACAATTTTTTTATTATTATAGCTCGTGATGATCCACAATCACTTGTAATATTATTACATGAAGAAATAGTTGTCATTGATCTTGTTACTGATAGTTGGCCATCATATCATTTACCTTATTTAAATAGTATTCATGCATCTCCTGTTATTTGTACAACATTAGCATGTAATGTTAATGTACAATTTTATAAAAAACTTGTGAATTACGCGGCAATACAATTTGATGATTATTCAGATCGAGTTTGTTACCAAAAATTTTTATATTTTTAGAATTAATTTTTTTTTTCATTCTTTTAAGAAATGGCCAATAGCAGGAGGAGAAATCAAATATAGTTCAAATAATGTAAATGATGAGACAGAGCCGAGACATTTATTATTAACTGGGTAAGAAAATCATATGAAATTTTAAGAAGAAAAATAATTTGACTATTCCTAATAGACATGAAGATGGATCAGTACAATTTTGGGATATAACGAATATTTCAATGCCATTAATTTATAAATTAAAAACAAGTGATTATTTTCAAATTGAACAAGCACCTATCGATGAAACAGAAGAAGAAACATGGCCACCATTTCGAAAGGTTAAATTTATAATAAATTTTTTTTATTATATTTATTTTCTTTGTTCTAGACGGGTCTTTATGATCCATATTGTGATGATCCTCGTTTAGCTATACAAAAATTATCACTTTGTACAAATACAGATACACTTATTGTTGCTGGAACAGCTGGACAAGTTCTCACATTTGAATTTTCAATTGAATCAACAGAAGTCAATATAGCTGTAAGTTATTTATTTTAATTTCTATTGAAAATTATTTTACATATATATCTATCTTATCATATATAGACAACAACAGTCAATTTACTTGAAGGTTGTGAAAGTTTTGTTTGGAAAGGTCATGAAGAAATGAAAACAAAACCAACATTTATTCCATCAGGTCTTATTCTTACATCATTAGTTCAACTTTATCCACCTGCAGCTATATCAGCTGTAGCATTATGTTCAGATATTCAAACGTATATTTCCATTTTAAATTATTGTTATTATTATTATTATTTAAATTTTAGTTATGCTATTGGTACTGCACATGGTTTTACAATATTTAATTATAAACAAAATCGAATTCTTACAGCTAAATGTACACTTGATCCAAATGCATTAGGAAATACAACAGCTGTACCATCATCAACTGGTGAATCAACATTAATACGTGGACGTTCATTAAAAAAATCTCTTCGAGAATCATTTCGACGTTTACGTAAAGGACGAACAATAAGAAAAGCTACAATGATGGCAACAGCAAAACGAGCAGATGAAAATAATCCATTATCATCAACAAATATGCATTTAGAAGATGTTATACGTGTACCTGTTGAAAGACAAGTAGAATTTCGAGAATTTAAATCTTCTGATGATCAAGTTGCTAGTATGGTTCGTTGTCTTTATTTTGCTAAAACTTATCTTAATAGTGGTAAGACTTTCTGTTATTTAAAATAAAAAATATATAAGATAATTTCATTTTTTTTAGTTAATGATCGAACACGTTCAGTTTGGGCTGGTACAAATGGTGGTCATGTATATGTTTATTCTATAACTGGTTTTGAACCTCAATTAATAAATGGACCTGCTATTGCAACAGATCAAACAAATACATGTACAATGGGTTAGTTATTCATTGTGTGTTTTTTTTTGTCTTTTTATTTAATTGTATTTAATTTTAGCGAAAGAAATTCGATTAAAACATAAAGCACCTGTGTTAAGTATTGTTGTACTTGACGGTTCAAATCAATCAATAGGATATGGTTCAAGTATTCCAACAATAGAATCAACATTTTCATCTCTTAACACTCATATTCAACCAACAACGAATTCAGAAAATGCATCACCAAGTTCACCATCAACAATTCCTTCACATAAAGTTCTCATTTGTTCAGAAGAACAATTTAAGGTATACCTTTCTTCATATGTAATTGCAAAATTTTCTATTGTATTTATCAAGGTTTTTACATTACCAAATTTAAAACCATATTGTAAATTTAAATTAACAGCAACAGAAGGTACACGTGTACGAAAAGTCAATATTAATCAATTCGCTCTTAAATCAGGTAAATATTTTTGTTATTAGTTATCTAATCCTAACAAAATTTCTTTTCTTTAGATAATATTAATGAATCTCATACGGAATCATGTCTTGTTTGTTTGGATAATATGGGTCAAATAAGTATTTATACATTACCAACACTTCGTCGTCAAATATTATTTAGTTGTATAAAAGCAAGTGATATAAATGCTTTATCAACTGTACAATTTTCTCCATTTGCACATGCACTTTATTTACAATCATCATCAGAATTAGCTCAAGTGACATTTTCACCACAAACAATTTTACCTTATTCAATGTCAATTACATATGATAAACTTCAACGAAAAACAATACAAAGATCTGATATAGACAAATCTATTCGACAAACAAGTCCACAACGAAATACAACTGCTGAACAAGAAGCTCTTCTATTGTAAGTCTTCATAACCATCTTGAATGTTGTCTGATTCATTTGATTATTTTATTTAGAACACCTTCGAAACTATCTGAACATGCAGATGAATCAACATTAACATCAATAAGTGAGAAACATCAAGAGACACCATCAAAATCATCGGTTTCTTCTTCACCACCAAGAAATAATGAAGTAAATAAAATGTTAAATGGACATGAAGGATCACTTGTAAACAAAATGAATAATACAATAATAAAACCTTATCAAAATGGACATGCTGGAAATAACAGTGGCTTTAGTACAAATTCAGATTCAGCTATTGATTTAAGTTCAGGAATTACATCAATGAATATTACAAATAATCATAAACATCCATCAAAGTAATTATTTCATTTAATTTTTTTCTTTTGATTTTTCTATTATTTTCTAGTGATGAAATTCAAAAACAAGTTGATCGTGATTTACCTTCATTTCAATCGACTCCATTAAAAGGTAATGAGAATTTTTATTTGAGATTTTTCTTATCAATATTTTTTCTTTAGTAACAACTGAAACATCTATACAAAAAGATCATCAAAATTCATTTTCACCTGTTTCTCCAAATGGTAAAGCGAATGCATCATCATCATCATCGAAATTAATTTCAGTTAAAATTCGTCAAGCACCAAATATAAATGAAATTCATTATTATAATGGTACGAATAATAATAATAATCCATCATCACCAAATCAACGTACACCTGCCATACATACTTAAATATGACTATATATATACATATACATATACATATCTTATTTTAATGTTTATCGTTCGTTTTGCGTGCAGATAAATATTTGTTGTCTTTTGATGTAATCTTTTACTTATGTCGGATATTATTCATTGACTTGTCTTTTTCTGTGTATAATCATGAAATATTTCGAATGATTCTCATATATTTGTCTCGATCCGTACAAATAATACATATTGTGTTTACTTCCATCTTTTGAAGATTTTATCGAAAAACTTTTTGTGTGTGCTTTTTTTCTCTCTCTCTCTTTCTCTCTCTCTTGTCTATTGATAATTTACTCTCATTTTCATTCTCATTTCTTTATACTTCTAAACAAAAAAACTCAAAGAGTGCGCGTGTGTGTGTGTGAGTGTGTGTATTTAGCAGCAATCTTATGATGGTGATTGCGCCTTATTCATACATATCCAAGAAAAGAAAGATAATAAAAAATGATAACAAAAAAAAATTATGAATAATTAGAATAAAGACAAAACAACATATAAGTCATCATTTCAATGATACATTATGAAACTGAATGAAGAGTATTATCAGCTGTGACACGATTAGGATGAATTTTATTAGAGAATTTTTTTATTTCTTTCCAAATATCTTTATTGAGATATATGAAACAAATCTTCTCGATTACAGATGCAATTGTAGGTGTCATTATGATAAACATATATATACCATGAGATGTTAATGTTATTTTAGATGATATTATAATATAAATTAAACTTGGAATTCCAGCGAGAAGAAAAATAAATAGTAGAATTAGAATATTTCGAATTAATTCAAGTTCTCGTTTAGTTAAATGCGATGAATGTCGAACAGCAATCGAAGATTTAATAACTCGATAATAAATAATACCATAGATAATGATAATAATAAGAAACGGTGTAAAATATGCGACAATAAGAAAATATCCAATGTGTAGCGAATTTTTTGCTGGAATAAAACATAAATGTAATGGACGAAATACAATATCGCGAGTAATGAGAATTGGAAGGAAAAGTAGAAAAGAAAGAAATATTTCAACGATAATAAGAGTTATATAATATTTATATGTTAAAAATTTTCGATTTTTATGAAAAACAATAAAAAATAAACGAGATAATCCTTGGAGAATATATGAATAAGATATCATCGTAAGAGAAACATATCCTAGATATGCTAAAATACGGCAGTACCAATCACTTAAAATAGTTTCCGTATAGAAATGATAAACTTTGATTGTTATAATAATAATATAGAAAATTGTTGATAGATATGTATTACATACGAGAAGATTTGTTAGTGAATGGAGAGTTTTTGTAAAGAAAATTAAAAGAATAATAAAAAGTGAGAGAAAAATCGAGATGATTACTGTTATAATAAAAATACTAAAGGCAATTTTTACTTCAAGAATATTCTTTAGTTGATTCATAATTAGATAACAAAAGAATGACTTATAGCAAGAAATGCAGTTACTATTTACTAGTAGTCTCGGAAGAAAATACGTGGTAAATTGAGATGTTGACACGTGCTATATTAATAGTGTATTATTTTCACCTCGGCTGTAAAAACAACATTTGCAAATTCTCATGACCCAATTATTCACATCTCATAATTTCTAAGCATAACAATTACGAAAATAAATATACCTGTCAACAAAGTAGAATAAATAATTTAATAATAAGAAAAACATAAACTATATTAATTTATTCTTAATAATAGAAACCAAAGTAAGTAAAATAATTTTATTTTATTAATCTCGGTGAAACAGATTGGTTATTAAGGACCTCTTTTGAAAACTTTATTTTATATGTACATCTATTTATTGGTTGAAATGAAGGACTTTTCTAGAACCAATAGGTTAGTCTATTTTAAAACGATGGTTAAACTTAATATATTTATATATAGTTAATTTAAGACGAAAAACACTTGTTTTTCCATAGATTAAGACGATGCCTACGGTTCTCTTAGTCGATTGTTCTCTGGGTATGGCAGAACGTTTTCCATTTGTCATAAAACAAGGAGATAATATGGAAACAACGATGAATATTGAAAAACGTAGTTTAGTAGCAAAAATAATCGATTCATTAATGGGTACTATCACTAGTCCTACGAAACTTGAAACAATGGCCGTTGTAAGTGCATTATTCATCTTATTATATACTATATTGATAGTATTTTTATTTGAAGGTATTATTTGCTGGTGAAGATACAATTAAAATTGTACAAAATTTTACAAAGAATTCTGATGATATCATAAAATCTGTTCAAAAATTGCCAATATTTGGTGATTTTTCATTGAAACCAGCAATTGAATTTGCTAAAAAATATTTAACAACAACATTCGGTGCACAACGTTCACAAAAAGTTTGTTTTATTCAATAGTTTTAATTGTAAGAAAAAACTTAATATTTAGATTGTAGTTTTCACCGATAGTTCCCATCGTGTTGATGATCCAATCATAGAAAATACTACCAATAACAATCAAATGGATGTAGATTTTCGTACAAAAATATTCAATGATGAACAAGAAAAAACATCATCGAATGGTCATACTGATGTTTCATTTGTATGTATACGAAAACCATTGAGTAGTGATCGAACAAGATTAGAAGATATAACTGAACAAAGTCAATGTTCTCTGTCTAAAGTTTATTGGTTATTAAATCGAGACAAAGAAACTAATCTTACAGTCACTAATGACATGATTCAAGATCTAACTACACATATCAAAGCAGATCTAATGGATATATTTATCTCTGTACTCAAATGTGGACATTATGAATCTCAACTTGTTGTTTATCCAACAATTAAACCTGCTGTATTGTATGTTAATCTGTTTTAATTATTAATAATAGTAAAAAAAATTTTTTTAATAATAATTTTCAGACAAACAACAGGCGAATTACTTCAACCTTCGAATACATTAACTGTAAATGGTTTTATTGAATTATCATCAATACGCAGTGCAATGGCAACATCAAAACATATACTCTTACCAATTCAACGTTATACTCGACCACAGCCACCTATGCCAATGTACGCTACAAAAAAATCAGCAGTGACATCGACTGCAACAACGACACCATCAGCGACAACAGCAAATCCTTCTTTAACTAATCAGAAGAAATCTAATACTGCTAATAATTTCTATTATCTGCTACTTATATCGTTGAAAAAAGAAAAATCAGCAGCATTAGTTTCAGTAAATGATCAATGGTTTGGTGCTATACATTGTCAAAAATTTGAAAAAAAGAAAAAATCTAGTCGACTTATTCTCTCTGTATTTGAACCAGGTGATCGAATTCCATGGATTTCTAGTTTTGAACGTCTTGGACCTTATGCTGTTGTATTTCCACCTGGAAACAACGGTGAATTAGTCTATAAAAAACAACCATGGCCAGTAAAACCATTTGCTCGAAGTTATACAGAAACATTTTTAATTTGGTGTCGACAAAATAATTTTCAAGTAAATATTTCATTGATTATTTTGAAAAATTCATTCGCTCTTTTATAGAATGATATCAATAAATTTGTTCGTGCTTCAGCTAAATTACCCGATAAAGTCAATATATTTCAACGAGTAAGTAACATTATCAATTACATACAGAATCAACTTTGCTTTCTTTTTTTAAAGGAACTCAATAAAATATGTCGCGGTGCATTTATCTATGGTCTACGTGATCGATTGTTTCATTTATTACAACAATTATTTCAACGTCAAATCCAATTGGGTAAAATCAAGCCAGATGGTATAAAACATGTTCAAAGTATCATTAGTTATATGAATCGTCTCGGTTCATCAGATCGTTTCATAAAATATGAAGAAATATCGAATTAAAATGAATCATATTCTTTTATTTGTGTATATATTTATATAGGAATTTGTTAAAATCTATTCATTCCATTTCAGATAATAAAAAAACAGAAAGAAATGTCAAACGAAACAGATTATTTCCCTCGTGGCGCTTCAACAACTACAACTAATATACAATCTGAAAAACCACGATTTAATCATGTTGAACGTGATGATTTATTTATTGGAATATCATCATCAAAACGAAAACGTTCACAAGAAGATTCTCACAAACTTAAAGAAGAACAAAAGAAAAAAAAGAAAAAATCTCTTGATGGTGAAAATCGTCAGGGAACATTATATCGTCGTTTACATAAACAAGTTTGTTATACTCTACTTAGTGAAAGATTTATGTTTTTTTTGCTTAATTAGAATCTTACCGAAGGTGTTCTTATGTGTGGTTGTATTGAAAAAATAACTCCATATGAAATACGTGTTAGTTTACCACATCAAAATATTGGTTATATACCATTAAATATGATATCAGATGAATATACAGAATTAATTCAAGAAAAGCTATCAGGAAATAATGATGATAGTTTAGATAATTTATTTCATCTTGGTCAATATGTTATTTGTCGTGTTATTGAAAGTCAATCAACAAATGAACAACAACAAAAACGTTTACATCTGACAATAAATCCAAAAGATGTTTGTGATCAAATAACACCGGATAATCTTGTTAAAGGAATGGTAAATAAATAAAAATTATTTAGAGATAAATCTATCTATATATATAATTTAGATGTTGCCCGGTGTTGTATCAAGTATTGCTGATCATGGATTTATAATTAATATTGGATTTTCACATAGAAAAGGTTTTTTAGCAAAAAATAAAAGTTTAAATGAAGATCTATTAAAAATTGGATTTTATGGATTATTTCAAATAAAAGAATCATCAACACCGAATTCACGTATTGTACCTTTGAAAATGATCGATACTAAAAAAATAAGACCGGTAAAGATAGATTTATTTGAATCATTTGTATCATAAATATTATGTTTGTTTCTTTCTAAAGACATTATCACCAACAAAATTACCTTTTCATATGCTTTTACCCGGTCTTAAATGTAAAGTGACTGTGAATAAAGTAAGTTTTCTTTTTGTTAGAAAGATTTTTCCTATAGAATTATTTCGTATTTTAGACACGTATTAATGGTCTTGAAGTATCATTTGGTGAAATAAAAGGATTTATTCATTTACAAGATTTTGAATCATTGAAAACACCAACAAGTGATTTTACTGCTGAACAAGAAGTAAATTTTATTTTTTCTTAATACGAAAAAATGAATTTTTATATTTAGCTTGAAGCAACAATTATGTCAATTGATCCATCATCAAAATTAATCCACTATTCAATGCAACCACATTTAGTAGCATTGAATTCTCCACCATTAATTCTTGAGAATAATAATGCACAATTGTCATCAATAATTGGTTCTATACATACATGTATTGTTGTGCGACATATTGGTTCATCACTTGCTATTCGACTTCCAGCATTGAAACAATATGGAATTGTTTCATCAACACATTTAACTGATGAGAAAGTTGATGATCTTCAACAAATATTAACATCATTTACAGCTGGACAAAAAATTCAGTAAAATAATTTCTTTCCGTTGTTTTCCTTATAATCATTTTGATTTAATTTAGATGTCGAATTATTGGAATATCATTATCAAGTAATTTAGCAATATGTACTTTGAAAAAGTAAGAAAAAAACAAAACTTGAAATTCATTTAAACTTTTTATTTAGGAGTATTATCGATGCACCATTTATTACGTATTCTGATATTAAAATTGGCAGTTTAGTTAAAGTAATAATTCGATTGTTTATTTTGTTTTTTTATAAAACGCGAATTTTATATAGGGTACAATAACTAATGTTGACAAACATGGTTTAATTATAAACTTAACAAAATATATTAATGGTTTCGTACCTATTATTCATAATGCTGATATACCAATAAAAGAAGCATTAAGTAAATTTCCATTAATGAAAAAAGTTCAATGTCGAGTAAGCGATCTTGTTTTTTTCTATAAAAAATTTCTCGATAAATAAATAAAATAGGTTTTACAAGTCGATCCATCACGCCAACGATTAATCTTAACATTGAAAAGATCTTTAATAGAAAATAAACTACCATTAATTTCTTCTTATAATGATTTACAAGCAAATCTTCTTACCGTTGGTGTTGTTATATCAATTCAAGATTATGGTTTACTTGTTAAATTATTTGGAGATTTATGTGGTTTAGTACCTAAAAATGAAATCGGGCAATTACAGAATTCACCTGGTGCAAGTGTTAAAAGTCAATTGCAACAAATGTTCTATATTGGACAAACTGTATCATGTAAAGTGTTGAATTTTGATGAAGAACAAAAGAAAATCACATTAAGTCTTAAAGTAAATATACATATATCTCAGAGACAGAAACTCAATATCTTATATATACTTTAGGTTCCTGGAAAAATGACATTTGGTAGTAAACCAGCAATAGTACCTGCTGATTTTTCTATTGGAAAAGTAAGCAATTGATTTATTTTCTTCTCATAAAACTACTTGTCTTTATTTAGGTTATTCAATGGACTGTAACAGAATGTGAAAATGATGAACATTTAATTGGTAATGTTGTTACAGAACGTCGACGAAAACCAGTATCAATAACATTAACAAAATATCATACATCAGATTTTGTTGAACATCAATCTCTATTAATGCGTCTTGATTTATCAACAAATAAAACTCAACAACGTGATGGTATTTATTGGTCTCATTTATCTTATATAAATATATCAATGAAAAAACTTATAATCGAATTCTGTCGACAATCAACTCTTCCACAAAAATTCGAAGATTGCACTGTAATTTTTCTTTTATTTATTTTTCTATTTATCATTAAATTTTATTTTTTGTTAGGTTGGATCGATTGTTCCCGGTGTTGTTCAAAATATTTTTGAATATGGTCTTTTTATTGATTTACCAAATACAATTATTGCTTTTGCTCCACATAAACATCTTGATCTACGTGGTTCATTAGAAACTATAGAAAAAAAATATCGTATAGGTCAAACAGTATTCGTACGAATTTTACAAATCGATGAAGAAAAACATCGTTGTATTGTTTCACTTAAATCATTAATATATGATGGTGAAATCGCACAATTAAATCAAGCTGATTATGTATTAAGACATTATCTTAATGAAAAATATCAATTGATTAAAGATATGACAGATAATGGAGCTGGTAAGAAAGAAATAAAGCAAACATTTGTAATTAATATACTTTGGGTATTTTTAGGTCCATTATCGAAATTTTTTCAAGAAACCAAAAAATGGATTGGTTTGAAATGTCGATATTTAGTTGAAAAACGTGTTGATGATTGGTTTGTTGGTCGATTAGAAAATGGGCTTCCAGCTAGTTTACCATATGATGCACATTATTCAATAGGTGAATCAATTGATGGTTATATTATTGATTTTAATTTACCAGCTCAACAATTTGTTCTCACAGTTGATCTTAAGAAACCTATTAAATATTCAAATGAGCTATCTAAAACATCGACTCAATGTACTATCCTCTGTCAATTATCATCATATGCATTAGCATTAACAACAGATTCTAATCAACTTATTCATTTACCAACATTTTCGGATTTAAATTCATTCTATTCAATTACATCATCAACATCCTATCAACGTAAACAACAAGTTAATATAACATCATTAACTCCTTACATATCCGAAGAATATAATTATATAATTTTACCATGTCAATCAAGAAAATCTCCCATTGAAATTTATCAATCCAATGAAATTCAATCTGTAACCATTGTTGATGTTTTACCAAAACAATTGAATGTGAAATTAAACGATGGTTCACGTGGACGAATTCATATCACTGAATTATTTGATAATCCATCTCCGGATAAATTTCAATCATTAAATGAATATTTTCATGTTAATCAAACATTAAATGCACGTATTATTGGTACAAGAAATATTGAAAAAGATTCGAAACATCAACGACCTGTTTATGAATTATCACTTCGGAAAGAAACATCTTCGAATCAATATGAAAAAGATGATGAAATTATTGGATTTTTTGATAAAATTGATGAAAAAACGAAAGGTTATTGGTTTTATTTATCACTTCATGTACGTGGTTATGTTCCACCTGAATTTCTTTCAAAACCAATGACTACGGGTCAATGTTCATCGTTAACAATTATGAATAAAACAAAAAATGATAAGGGTGAATATTATATTCTTTCAATGGTTGATAAAAATCTTGTAGAATCAAATGTAATCTATGGAAAATTTCAAGAAATAAAATCAATCAATGAATTTCATTTTAATATTACCAAAGATAATGAAATTTATACGGGAATATTAATATCAACAGATGTTTCGGATGTATTCGAAAATTTTGTATTTTGGAATGGTTTGATGAGTGTTAAACCACCCGTATTAATTAATGGACAATTAAATATAAAAAAAGAATTATGGAAATTTCGAAATAAAACAATAAAAGCTTTTATTAAAGAAGAAGATCATGAAAAAAAACAAATGATTTTATCAACAAGAAAATCAAAATTGGAGAAAAATCATTTGGATATAATCGATGAAGAAATCGATAGTATTGAACAAATATCCGATGGTGATATTCTACATGGTTATATTGATGTATTAACAAATCGTCAAATAACAGTATTATTAGGTTCCGGAAGAAAAATTCTTGGACAAATTGATAAAGTTGTTAATCGAACGTTAAATGGACATTTAAGAGAATATTTAGATGTAGGAATGATTGTTGAAGCAATTGTTTTAAAGTAAGAAAATTTTTCGAGCTTTATAGATTAAATAAATTTTTATTAATAGTATGGATAAAGAAAATAATAAATGTCAAATGAAATTAACGGATCAATTTATTGAACAATTAGTATCGAACCGTTCGAAACGAAGTCGTTCATCGAGAGCGAGTAGTTTGGTAAGAAAAATTCTATTTAATAAGGTTTCTTTAATTGACTAATTTAGAATGGTTCAATTGCTGGTGATATTGATGATAATGAAGAAATAAATGTTAAACGATTAAAAACAAGTGAAGAATTAGTAAATCCCAGTGCTCTCGGTAATGATTTGAAATTTGATTGGACAGATGATTTATCAACTTTACGTCCATCGATGGATGATGATGATGAACAAATGAACGAATCTATTACTTCATCGAAAAAATCCAAATTGAAATTAAGTGGTTCAATATCAAATACTAATAATCAACGTACTCAAGAACAATATGAAGAACTTGTTAAACAAGCACCAAATGATTCTCAGTTATGGATTGAATATATGCAATTTTATATTGATCAAGCTGAAATTGATCGTGCTCGATCTTTAGCTGAACGAGCATTGTCTAGTATTTTCTATCGGTTAGAATTAAAAAAACAAAATTTCTTCTAAAAAAAAATAAATTTTTGTTATTTCAATATTTATTTAGTGAAGAACGCGATAAATTAAACATTTGGATTGCTTATTTGGCACTTGAAAATCGTCATGGTACACCAGAAAAAGTGAATTCTATATTATCACGAGCTTTAGGTAATTGTGATGGTGTTAAAGTCTATCAAAGATTGGCTTGTGATGTTTATGAAAAAAACAATCAACTCGAAGTAAAGAAAATATAAATAACTTTCAAAAAAAAAATTCTTCTTTTTCAAGGACGCTAACGCAACATTTGGTTTATTGGTTAAAAAATTTAATAAAAATAAACAAGCATGGCTTGAATATATCATGTATCTATTTCGACAGAAACAAAATGAACAAGCAAAAGCTATACTTGATAAATCATTTGCAAGTATACCATCAACTGATCGTAAGAAAAATCCTTTTTTTTGTTTCATCAAAAGAAAATCTATCGTTTTGTAGATGTTGAAATGATTAATAAATTTGGTCAGTTAGAATTTAAATATGGTGATGAAGAACGTGCAAAAACTCTCTATGAAAAATTATTATCTAGTTATCCAAAACGTACAGATCTTTGGTCAATTTATATTGATATGTTAATTAAATATGATAAAGATCCACTCATTGTTGCAAGGTATGTTATAAAAAAAAAGAATAATATTTCATATTGAATTAATTTTTGTTAGATCAATTTTTGATCGTGTACTTTCATTAAATATTCCACCAAAGAAAATGAAATTTTTAATTAAAAAATATCTTCAATTTGAAAAACAACATGGAACAACAGCAGATGTTAATCGAGCAAAAGAACGTATTACTCAATATGTTAATTCTACTGATGACGTTGAAAATAAGACGACTACAAAATCAAACATTGAACAAGATGATTTGGATTTCTAAATTGTTTTAATAAGACATTTGTCTTATTATTTGTTTTTGTTATTTACAGAAAGAAAAAGAATAAAAAAAAACTATTGAAAATAAACTAACAAATCTTTGTTTTCTTTTTCCTTTTTTTTTTTTTTTGATAATGACTTTTTTTTTCGAGTATTTCTATTTTTATGGAGAGGGAAAAAAATAGAAGAAGAAGAAGAAGAAAGAGAGGGGGAGAGAGAAAGAGAGAAAGAAAGAAGGAAAGAGATTTAAGTAACAGTGCGTTCAACCATCTTCTTGACTTTCTCGACTAGCATGAACAACGAGAAAGAGATGGCGAGCAATGTTAGTTCATGTCCCGTTATTACTTTGTCTCTCTTTCTCTTTTTTTTTTGATAGCGGTGCACTGTTATATGAGTTGACTAAAAGCCGTTTTCCGCTTCTTTTTCTCTCTTCTTCGTTCGCTCGTTTTTTTTTCGCTATTACTACGCAGAATACATTATGACAGTTTTTTTTATTTTGTATCGTTGTATGTCGCATAGATGAGAGTATCGAATAAAGCATAAATGTCGTTTTTTTCATATAATTACTATCACCGGAAAATAAATCAAAAAGAAAAAATGATAATGGTAAGACAAAAAGTGAGAAAATGTAAGGAGGATTATTTGTATATTGACTAGTCTGTGTAACATCATCGATATTTGTTAAAGAGCTTTTTATTGAATAGATACACGCACGTTAGAATTGTTTGTTCGGAGAAATATGAATTAAGTTGATGAATTGTTTAACGATATATATACTTGTTTCATTTCAGATGCAACAAAATAACAACTAGTGTATCGAATTTATTTCAATTGAAAATTTTCTTTTTCTTTACTATTTATTTAACATATTTTATATCAATTAAAGATTATCATTTTCTTAATGGATAATATTACATTACAGAAACAAGTCGAAAATCTTCGACAGCAACTAAAAGTTGATCGAGTTCCATTATCAAGAACATTGATGGAGTGAGTAATTCTTTCTTCTTCTTCTTCTTCTTTTTTCCTTTTTTCTTTTCCTTTTTTTTTCGCATTGACATCCGTTTTTCAGTATAGTCTGATCAAAACTATCCTAAATGCATGTCTAATAGAAAAACGCATTTAGCCAAAGCACGTATGGCGCCGATAGACATTATTCGTTCTTCTCATTTCCTTCTCCTCGTCCCGCGAACTAAAAGCAACCCGACGGCAACGATGTCGGCAAGGAAAGATAGTGGAGATGAACTACTACACTATCGACCGACAGAATAAGGGGGAAGAGAGAAAGAGAAATAATAGAATCTTTAACAACAAGTAATGGTAAGAAATACTATGAGACGAGAACAGAGAAAAGAAGCGTCCCATACTCGTTCATAGTAAATGTATGTTTATGTGGTAGTAATAGCGCATCGTCGTTCTTTTTTCTTTCTTTCTTCCGTTCTTTCTTTTTCTCCCATCGATCCTTATTCGTTCTGTTGCAATATACACATACACATACACACATATGAGTAAAACTACGTATTGCCCGATTCTTTTTTCGCGCGCGCTTACTTGGTCGGTCTCTTGTTTGCTAGCTATAGCTAGCTCTTCTATTCTTCTCTTTCCTTTTTTTCCAGAACACATACACACACACACATACTAAGAGTGGTTTTTGTTGTCGCTGTTATTGTTGTTGTTGTTCTGTCTCTCCCTCTCTCTATCTCCCTCATTCTTTTTCCTTTTTTTTTCTCTTTCCTCTTTTCTCTCTGTCTTTTTTTTGCTCGAGACTGTGTATTTGTCCATCATCATTCTCTATTATTTATCGGAAGTACTGTTCGTAAACTAAGAATCAACCTATCAACGACTGTAAAAAAAACGAAAGTTTCCTAGAATAATATACAATGGATAAAGGTTCATTACAAAAACAAATTGAATCATTACGATATCAGTTACGCGTGGAAAAAGTACCTCTATCAAAAACACTTCAAGAGTAAGTTTTTCTAACGGTTATTTATCACAAAAATAACAGATAAGAAAGATGATCGATCGATTTATTTATTTTGTGACTTTATTCCAGTTGATTTCACAGATATATTATTCTAAGACATATGAGAAAAAACATAATCTACTTCATTCATTGATTATCATATATATTATTAATATTATTTTTTGTTTTGTTTAGATTGAAACGGTATATTCAAGAAAACGAACAAGCTGATCCGCTTCTTCATCCACCGGATAAAAAGAATAACCCATGGGCTGAAAAGAGCAAATGTACCGTCATATGAACATTTATATACATATTTATAAATATATACACCAACAAGAAACAAAAATTAACTGTTAAAAGACTTGTTGCTTCTCTTTATTTCTTTTTCTTTTTGTCTTTGACTAATATCACTGATTTGTACTACTGCTTCGTTTGTCGACTATGATGACTGATCGAGTATCTTGTATGACAGTTGTCTTTTTTTCTGTTCTTTTCTTCTCTATCTTTCTCTAGTCGGTCAGATCGTGTGTATTTCTGTACAGTGGATGACAACGATACGAGGATGCTATAAATCCTTACAGACGATCTGCAGTAGTCACCACTAATCTTTTCTTGTTGTTGTTGTCTTATTCTTTTTCTTTTCTTAGCTGAATGTGCATATGTCGGTGGTGTTGATTGTACTGTCTTTTACTCTCATCAATGAGTGGTTGTGTATCTCTCTCTTTTTTTTAAATATGGATTGAGGATTTTCTAGTGAGAATTCATTCTATTATCTTTGAATTACTTTCTTCTCTTCTCTTTATTTAATTTCGAAAGTTTAATGGAAAAGCAAACAAAAAAAACATTATTTACAGTTGAAAAATGAATATGAGTTAGGAAGACTTTTCGTGTTTTTTCTTAATTTAATTATTTTATATTAATCAATCATCATATAAAGTTTTTTTAATGAAGAAAAGAAGCATGTAATTAGAATGATTGATAATCTGACGAACAACTGAAGGTTATCTCTTTCTATATATATAATGATAATGGCTATTTGTAAGAATACAACTTATCTTTGGTAATAAGATCATAAAAATTTTAGTTCTAAAAATAAGGCTTCTCACTGAAAAGGTTTTATCAAACAAGTGCAGATTTTTTCTCATCAGATAACGACGATTTATTACTTTATATTCTGAAACCTTATACTAATATTTTCATACTTGATATAGATAATTATTTCTATCGTGATATGGTTTTATTTGAATATTCTTTTATCAAGCAATTATAGGAGGAATATTTTTACATTACTTTCATCTCAGCATAGAAATCGGTGTTAACGTTGAATTGCAAATTAGGCCTTCTTTTCGATTTCCTATCACGTAATGATTTCATAATATTGTTATCACTAACCAACAGGATTTATTTTGAAATTTTGCATGCTTTGTTGATAGCTGATAAAGCATCAACATACGTCAACTAGTTTGTTTATGCACGATTACTAAGAACGAAACCTTGATCTTTCATAATCTGTATAATGTATAATCTAGCAGTAAATATTAACGAGATTTATTGAAGTAGGTCGCCTAATCGATTTTACAGATAAAACAAAAAAAAAAACTAGATTTCAATGCATTGAAATAAATATTTGAAATTACGCTCTATTGTGATGGGCTGGTCTGCTTGCCCATTCAACGATGGGTCATTTAATAAAACTGTATTAGAAAATATAATCATTCAAGCTGAATGTATGTATTTAACAAGTCCACTTGAATGGAATCAATTCAATCCTAATACATTTGATGGTATCTATTATAATAAAACGAAACCATCTTGAGGGAATCATTTGGTATATCAATGTTAAAACAAATTATCTTGAATAATTATCATATGATCTATCCTAATACATATCCAGTGATGTACTTATTTCAATATCGAGGTGCAGGATTAAGTAAACCATCTATACATTGTCATACAGCAACAACATGGACTGGTTGTGCTGAAGAATTAATTAATACAACAGTACCATTATCACCTGAACAATCACTAAAAATTATTCATGCAATGTCGAATCAGAACATAGCACAAGATTTACAATATCAAATTCAATTTACGATTAATCAATCACAGCCAATATCTCAACAAACATCAACATATATCTATGGCTTAAGTCAAGGTAATACAAAAAACAAATTTTAATATTTTCGAAGAAAAGGATTTAATTATTAATATAATATAGGAACTGGCATTATTGAATATTATTTATCCATTCAATCGATCAATTCTCAATTACAAATAATCGATGGAGTTATACTTGATGGTATTATGTCGATCAAAGATTCTGATGCAGCTCGAAATCAAATCAAAACTCATAATGATCGATTTTATATGTATATATCGAAATGTCAACAAGATACACAATGTTTGAAAGCATTCAATACTGTCACAGGTACTGATCAAGATCTTCTCAGTGTAACATTACGATTACAAATGTTATTTTTAACAAATAAAACAAACCCTCTATGTACATATAATAATGGATTAAAAGATTGGCAACTCTTTATTCAAATTGCAAGTGAAGGAATTAAAAATGTTGCTGTTCGTCCAGTAGCAATAATCTTAATAGCTCGTCTCTATCGATGTTCTTTAGATGATCAACAAATCTTATCTCGAGCAATACCAATAATGATTTTCCTAGTTCAACAAGCATCATCTGGTCATTTAATTGATCCACCTGATAATTATCAAAATGATGGTAGTGTTCTAAGTATAACAACGATTTGGAGTGATTTTATTGGTCTTACTTTAAATGATAGTATTAAAACAAATTCAGAATTTTACAATGATCTTTGTATTAATAATAGTGTTGTTAATGAACTCTATTTAGCACCAACAGGCACTTTACCAATATGTAACGAAACAAAATTATCAAAATATAATTATACTTTACCTTCGACATTTAAAGATGTTCTGTATCCTAAAAACCCACGGTACTGGGGTCAATTTCAAGTCAATCCAAGAATATTTCGTTCTCGTCAAAATGGAGCACTGCTTTTCAATGGAGATTTAGATTATAATTCGCCTTTAACAACAGCACAACAAGTTCAAACATCGTTTAATATGCAGGAAATTTCAACAAAATTAGTTGTTATGAAAGGTTTAACTCATGTTACATCTATTCAATCTTACACGAAAATCGGTGGGTTTGAAATGCCATCATGCACTGAACAGATCATTGTACAATTTCTATATCAACAAGAATTAAATTTAACTTTATCAAAACTCAATGATACATGTAATTCTATCGATACTCTAATTGGAATTGATTGGTTTTATAAAAATCCAACAGTTAATCAAACGTTACATTCCGTATTTGGTAATTCAACATACAACTATTGGGGAATAAATACTTCGAATTAATATAATATATTCAATATAAACTGCTAAATAACTTATTTTTAATACAATATATATCTTGTGGGTGTGAAGGTATAGATGTGAAGTAAAACTCACCACGTCCGCACCTTTATTCATGTTAAAATATATAAAATGGTCTAACTTATTAATTGTATATGTTAGAACGGACTCATATCTCTAATATTTTCATTTGTTTAATTGATAATTGGTATATTCCTAACTGTATCACGACAACCAAGATCACACATATACCACTTTACGATGAGAAAAAAGAAAAGTCCAAGAGAGGCATTGTATTATCGTATATTCTGGTAGTTATGTCACTAGTCAAATAACAAGTTAAATTAGAAAAGTAGCAATCATATATGTGCTAATATATTCTATCAGTTGACAATTGTGAATAGTTAAAGAAACGATTTAATCGAAAATATTTAAAGAGAATAAAAATCGATCTCAATTATTAAGATTTCAGTTTTCGAAGAATCATTTTGATTTTTCTTTTTTCATCATGAATAATGTTGTCTATTACAAAACGCAATTATTTATATATTTTTGTTTCATCCATAAACAAACATATTTGCTGATATGATCAAACTTTTTTTCAATACAATCAAAGAATAAAATAAGTTGGTTGTAACTTTTTTTTGTTATATACTACATACGATGTGATATTGGCAGTGTCAACAGGTTATCTAATATCTTTATGTATCGCATTTCTCAGCCGACATCATTCTTACTAGAATATGAAACACCATTATTGACTAGTGCATAATTAGTACAGTGTATACTGAGGAAGAGAAATAAAAATATTAAATTATTAAAAAATAGAAAAAAGTCTCACGTAAGTTCTTCTCACCAATGTATAATACAATGTATAAATTACAAATTGAAGTATCTTGACTATTTTTTATGTTGAATCTGTTTGAGTAATGTATCGATATATATTGATTATCATTATATATAAAGTCCTTGAGATAGCCTTTCCTCGATTATTGTTCTCGTGTCTTTCTGTTCTGTATCTTTGTAGCGTACAATTTTAGTCTAGTAGTAATTCTATATATACCTCTCTAATGTTTCTTTTTTCTAGTTCTTTTTTTTCTGTTCTTTCCCATCAACTACATTATATTATTATTTTGTGTTTGTTTTTATGTTATATGAGGAGAGCAACTACTCGATAGGAAGTTGTGGAATAATAGTAGAAAATACATAATCTTTTCTATTATATATAAGACAGAACGTAAGTTTCTCGTTAAGTTCTCAACTCGAATTATTTGAATAGTAAATAAGTGACTTTTCAGGATATCTAAATGTAATATGAAGCAGTTATTATTTTCTTGCAAAAACCAGATCAGCTCATGGATAATCATCATTTACGTGCTATTATATTGGAATTACAAGATCGTCTTAGTAATGATGATCGAAAACGCTTACATTTCTATCTTGACAATGATCCACCACTTAGTGGAACACTTAGTCTTATGGATTCTCTTTTCGATCAAGATAAAGTGAACGAAAAAGATTTTACTTTTCTGATAAATGCATTTGACGAAATAGGTTGGGGTGGTGTAGGTGAATGAAGAGTTGGCATCTACACCATTCTAGTCATACACATAATTCTATTTGAATACCGCATACACTTTTATTAACATCGATCTCTCGTACATCATTATTGATCTTATTGTTTGTCATTCAATCATTGGTATACGTGTTATTTCTCATTTGGCTTTATTATATTTCATATTCGAAAGAATATCATCATTTATAGAAAAGAAAGAAAATCGTATTTATTATTGAATCTTTTCTTTCCTTTGATTGTTCACAGAAATATTTTCTTGTGTTATCACAAGGTTTCGACCGCGAATCTATCAACAATTCTTATCTTTATTTTGGTTCGTTATGTATTTATCTTCTTATCCATTCTTTCTCATGGACAATTTTCTGCATAATATCTCCTTGAAGAAAGAAAAAAAGATTCGATATACTGAAGATATTTTTCTCATTTCTTGGTGATTTTAGATTATTCTTTTCTTTAATCAATTCACAATGTTATTTTCAAAATAATGGAAATAATTCCAATTCTTGAAACTCCTAGTGAATCTATTAAAAAAACAAATGACAATCATCTTGAAAACTTTAGTCTTATCTGGCTTAATAATAATGAAAATGTCGACATTCAAAAAGAATTACGTAATATAATTAATCATATTGAAATATTTCATGATGTTGAAGAATGTAAAGATTATATTGAAACAACATCAGAAAATGATCGATTAGTTCTTGTTACGAATGGTGAATTCGGTCAACTAATTATTCCTTCAATTCATCAGTTAAGACAAATTTCATCAATTTATATCAATTCAGAAAATAAACAATGGACAAATGATTTTCCTAAGGTAAACAAAAAAGTATTACTAACGTTTAATTTCAATAATTATTTTTCTAGGTAAAAGGTATTCATGTTAAAATGGATAAACTGGTTTCACAAATTCGTAAAGATCATAAAAATCCTCGAAAAATGGAAGAACCTGTATGGATAAATATGTTTACCACATTAAGTGATGCAGGAAAATCAACAACAGCAATCAATGGTCAATTTGCATTTTTTCAAGTATTACTTGATTGTCTTCTTCGATTAAAATCAAATGAAAATGATCGAAATGAATTGATTTCATATTGTAAAAAACAATATGAAGGAAATCAAAATGAATTAAATCATCTTCATGAATTTCAGAGCAGTTATTCACCGGATTATGTTTTATGGTGGTATACACGTGAATCTTTCTTTTATAAAACATTAAATGAGGCTTTAAGAAAAGAAAACATTCATATGATTTATTTATATCGTTCATTTATTATTGATATACAAAATCAATTAGAAAATCATCAATGTCAATGTGCTACTCGTGTTTATCGAAGTCAATTAATGTCAATTGATGAATTAAATTATCTTAAAAATAGTATTGGACAATATGTTTCAGTTAATTCATTTCTTTCGACGAGTTTTCAAAAAGAAATTGCAGATTTTTATCTCGGTGATACGAATCATCGATGGATGGATTTTGAAAAAGTTTTATTTGAAATTGATGCTGATCCAAAAGTTGTTACAACAAAACCATTTGCTGATATAAGTCAACTTAGTGATTTTGTCGGTGAATCAGAAGTTCTTTTCATGCTTGGATCGATATTTCGTTTGAATTCAATTATTCGTGATGATCAAAATATTTGGATTATTCATATGTGTGTATGTAGTGATGATGAACATGATTTAAAACAAATTCTTATGGATATGAAAAATGAAATTGGAAATGGTGAAACAAATCTTTGTATTTTAGGAAAAGTTCTACGAGGAATGGGACATCTTGATTTAGCGAAGAAATATTATTATCGTTGTCTAGATGAACGTTCACAAAATGATCCTTTACTCCTTACTGTTTATAAAGATTTGGCTAAAATTGCTGCTCAACAAAAAGATTATGAAGAACATCTTCGATTGAGACGCATTTTAGCGAAAATCAAAGAAGAAATACAATTAAATGATAATGAGATTCAGACAAATGAAATAGATAAATTAAACAACAATGGTAATACAAACATCAACGAGAAAATACAATTAAATGATAATGAGATTCAGATTAGTGAAATAAATAAATTAACTTACAATGGTAAAACAAATATGTTCATTTTTCCAGATTTCGATACATAATAATAATTTGTCATTTTAGACACAATACAAAAACGAAAATCAAAAAATTATATGCGATGTAATTGGTATTTAAAATTATTGATATGTAGTTTTATTCTTATCTTGATGATTGGAATTGGAATATTTACATTAAAATATACGATGACAAAAAATTCGTCAAAATCTTCAGAAGAATCGAGTAAGTTATTTTGATATAATTGATAAATAGTTGTTTTTTCAATTTTATCAATAATGAATGAATAATAAATTTTCGTAAAAGAAAAAAAAGAATTCAATATAAGGTGTGGATGTGAGCGAAGAGACACCCACATCCTACCGGTTTCTAATGATTCCTATCGAATGTATGTATACTCGAAGAATTCATCACTAATCGTAGACATTAGTGCTTCAAGCACTAGATCATTAGCTCAGGATAGTAGATCGAGAAGAATCAATTTCTGAACAACAACAACAAGTCCCCGAATGTTTTTCTCATACGTTTATATTATTTTATAAAATCAGGATCAACCATAGCGTCAATCACATCATCATCACCAACACTACCAAGAACAAAAACAGCCGAAACGACAATAACAACAACATTGACATCGCCACTGCCACTACCAGCAACAACTACAATTACAATCACACTACTATCAACAACAACCACAACGAAAACCACACCATCACCAACAACAACCGAAACAACAACTACACCAGCATCAACAACAACT